AGCTGCTAAATAGAATGTGTTATGGGCTGAATGTCCCCCCACAAAAATTCATGTTGAAGCACCACCCCCCAAATTCTCAGCACCTCAGAATCTAACTGTATTCTGAGCTAGAGTCCCTGCAGAGGTAATTAACTCAGACGGAACTGGTTAGGGTGTCTTATGAAGGGGAGGGAATTTCAGCGCAGATACAGGGAACATGTGACCATGTGGGAGAACCAACAAGAATGGTCTGGGTCACACAGTCTCATTTGATATGGCAGCCCTAGAAAATGAAGACAAACTTTCAGATTGAAATACAACTCTTATGACTACTGATTGGGAATAAGACAGATTTCAAAAAAAAAAAAAAAAGATTTCAATTGTTGTTCCTGAGAATAAAAGGAAAGAGAACACTTCAGAAAATGCAGTAATTATACATTCATCATTCACCCAAGACAGGGTAAGACTTTCTATCTTTTTGCTATCCGTACTTCCACTTCCAGAGCTGTGGCTACTAAATTTATTGACACTGCCCATGCCACACACGAAGCTATTTCATAAATATTAACTCAGTAATTACTTGCAACAGCCCTCTGAGGACTAAGTGGGGAAAATATTCTTTTCATTTCATTGATGAGGAAGCTCAGGCGCAGAGAGAAGTAATCGGGCCAAGTTAGTGGCAGGATCCAATTCTGAACTGAATGTGTCCATCTCTGTCTTCAGAACCCGGTGCTTCGACACTGCTGCACTCCAGCTGTATTTCAACACAGTGTTTGGCATTCACCTTTGCCTGTCTTCCCAGTCAACTATTAGCTTTGAGAGAATTGAATGGTTTCGATGTCCTTTGATGATTTGCTGTTTCACAGCTCTCTGATGGTAAAGTTGTCATCTTGAAACAAAATGGCCACTAATCTAGCTTTTCTGGTGATGGTTGTTCCATAAATTTTCTTTGAGTGAGGATTCGGGTCATATGATCATATTGATTGAATTCTTCAGTTCGCAAACCCAATAATTAATTAGGAAGGGGGAAAAGCATAAGAAAGAAGGCAAAGCCAGTTGATTTAGCAAAGCCAGTTGATTCATGTATAGAATTGAAAGCCATAGCCCCTGCTTGAACTATCCAGTACTCACATTTTAAATAATTTGTTTTTGGAAACCTTTTTAAAACTCTCCACTGTTACAATGTAATGCCATCTGGCATTTAACATTTATAAAATGTGCAGTTAAGAGATGCCAAGAGATTCTTTATGCAAACCAGATGGTACAATAACAGCTCTGTCTATTTTTCTGGCAGAAAAATAAAACTTTGAATGACTTGAAACTTATGTGAATAAATTAAACCCAATCAATACTTCAGGGACATTACAATTTCAATAGTTAACTTACCGGCCTAAATATTTTCATGAATGTTTTCGTTTGGAGAAGAAAAAATAGAAGGGCAGAAAGCAGTTCCTTTGTTGGTTTTATATCTGCATTTAACTGTGACTGTAATGAAAACGACAGCAAGACCTTCAACGTGGGAAAGTTTCTCCTTCTTTTAAGAGTGATGAGCAGGTTTAAAGACAAGCAGAAATGAAATTTATTTTTAATCAGGAAAATTCACATTAAATAGGCTGAATAGTTTTATTATTGTGCTAAAGAGAAAAAAATATGTCTAAGTGACATTTTCTGGATAATGCATTTGAAAATGTCTTTACTTCACTAGATATGGTCTCATAAGTCCAAGTTCAGCACACACAGTGGTGGGTTAATGCCTTACTTTCTCCTTGCCTGGTTCCTGTAAATGTTCCATGTAACAATGGGACTTTTGTGATCCCCTTTAATTTCCTTTACTTTCTTTTATTACTTTTATTTTCATTAAAATTCACAATAAGATGCTCATTAGATGAAGTAATCTTGTTAAAAGCAAGTGTTCTGCTTAGATCTTTTCTTTCTCTTTATTACGTAAAAATGTGTTTCCCTGTCATCCAAGTGAATTTCTTCTGTAATTAGACATGAATAGCTTTGGAGAACAAATACAGTCAGCTTTTGAAAGCAGATCTCTTTGGGTGCAGGGGACAATCTCATTAATAAAAATCTGTGTTTCTGGGCTGCACAAGCTGTTGAATTTCTTTCCCAATTAGCAGTGAATGGTTTTTCAGAAAAACACTGGAGAAGTTTGGTTTCCATTTTGCTAGCATTAATTATGCTTGGGAGACAACTACCACTAATCTCTGTCCCTTCTTTTCCTCCCCCTGGAACACACAGGACTCTGTTTTATAGATAGGGCAGAGTCCTAGGTAAATTTTCTCTCCAGGTTCTACTTCTTCTGGGCCAGGGTTGGATTCCATAGTAGATGAGACATCTGTTCAAACCACCCCAGTGTCAGGCAGCTACTCTTGTGGCAGCAGAGATCACAAAATGATAAAACCAAAGGTCACGCACTGAAAATGCCTCTTAGCTGGGAGGCGGGGAGCATCTCTCCAAGAGCTACCCCTGGGATTAACAGTTAACTCTGCTTTCTCTGAGTCACTGACAAGAAGAAATGGTGTCTGGGTAAAAGGGCTTTTTAAAAGTGAAATAGTTAAATGATTGGGGAGCCAGGTCATGAGTTGGATTCCAAGAATTTTAGGAATACAAAAAAGGAAATAAAACCTACCTCTCTGAACCTCAGAGGCAGACAGAGGGCCATAGAGGTGGCTGGTAAGATGCTTTTCTAAGTTGAGTTAAGTGAGCATTGCAGGAGAGTAGGGAGGTGTGATAGGCAGGGTTGGTCCCAGCAGAAGGTAGATGAGGGCTTGACTTGCTAAATTATAGTACAATCCAGGAAATGTCTTTGCCACTTAAGCTTGGGCCTCCAAATCTCTTCCCCAGTGTAAATGGCAGATGCTCTTGTCATGTCTTCAAGAGTCTAGCAACATACATGGGAACAGACTAAAATACTTGCCTCCACAAACCAGTACAGTCAAACCCATGGTTGCCTCACAATGATCAAGATTGCTCAAAAAGAACCAGTACAATAAATCGCTGGTTTCCAGGACAGAAGGGGGACGAGGGTAAACCAAGTAAAAGGGTTGAGTTGTATAACAAAGGATAGACTTGGACTCTTGGCAGTGAACTTAATGTAGTTATGGATTTTTATTAGGTGTACAATTCTTATAACTATTCTGTTATGAGAAACATACACTTTCCATTGAGTGCAAGGCTCTATAAATGACTACTAGGTAAAGTTTGTGAATTGTGTTAAAACCTTTTATATCTCTCTTAATCATCAGTCTGGTCAATGTATAACATTAGGGGGTGTACTTAGATTGTAGATTTGATCTTTCTCTTTAAATTCTATTAATTTGTGTTTTCTCTGTGCTACAAGGAAGCTACAGATTTAATACTAACATATTTTCTTGATGAATTGTTCCTTTCAACATTATGTATTATCTCTTTACCCATAGTCATTTTTTGTCTTAAACTATAGTTTGTCAGATACAAATATAGCAATATCAATTTTGTTAATATTTAACCTAACTTTACATTTCTTTGGCTTTAAATCTTCCTATAATTTTATATTACATGAGTGAGTCTTCTAATTGATGAATTTGATCTATTTTCATTAATTTTAATTACAGGTACATCTGGACCATGTTTTTGGTATTATATTGTGTTCTTTACACTATTTTTTCTATTTTTTTAAGGTGGAACTTTAACTCATTGACTTGAGTTTTTTTCTTTCTGATAAAAGCATTAAAAATCAAGTCCCTCCGAAGTCTCATTTTACCTGCATCCCATAAATGTTAATGCTGTCCATTCTTTTTCTTTTTCAGTTCGAATATTTCTGATAAAGATTTTGTATACAGATGATTTAAAGAAATCTTATAACTCAATAATAAGACAAATAGTCCAATGAAAAGTGGGCAGATAAAATTAAGATGTAAAATTAAAATTAAGATGTAAAAATGTCTAGGAAGCATGTGAAACATGCTGAATACTATTAGTCATTAGGGAGAACTAAAACCACTAGGATTGATATAATCAAAAAGACAATAAGGTTTCAAGAATTAGAAGAAATTTGAACCCACCTATATTGCCAGTGGGAAAGTAAAATGGAATAGTCACTTTAGAAATCAGTTTGGTATTTTCTCAAATGTTAATTATGAAATGCCATACAACACAGCAATTCCACTCCTGGATATATACCCAAGAGACATAAAAATGTTTCTATATGTACACATAGAGATTGTCATAGCAGCATTACGCATAAAACCAAGGAATGGAAACAATACAAATGTGTTAACTTGAGTCAAAAGAATAAACAAAATTTGACATATTAGTACAGTAGAATATTATACAGCAATAAAAAGAAATGCTACTGTTACATGCTATCACATGGATGAACCTCAAAAAATTATGTGAAGCTAAAAAGACTATGTTGTATGACTTCATTTATATGAAATGTCCATAAAAGTCAAGTCTGTAGAGACATAAAGCAGATAAGTGGTTTCCTGGAGTTGGAGTGGGAGAGGGCATTGTCTATAGATAAACATGAGTGATAATTCAGGGTGATAAATAAGCTATAAAACTAGATTCTGGTGGGTGATGGTTACACAGCTCTGTAAATTTGAGTGACCATTAATTGTACACATAAAGTGAGTGAATTTCATAGTATGCAAATTACCCCTTAATAAAATCATTAAAAAAAATCTCCCCAGTGAACTAGACTTGTTCTGAATGCTTTGCAAATTTTCTACATTCCACGCTTAGATGGCCTAGATTACATTCCAGACTTGTGAATGGGCATAATAAAATGTAAAGGTCCCCAGAATACTCAAGATGAACACAGCAGTGCTCATCTTTCCAGAAAGAAAAGGTCCAAGTTCAGTGTCATGAACCTTTCAGCTATCATCTAGGGAGGAAGGCTAGAATGAACTTTGCCCAGGGGTGACATTCTTCCTCATCACTGATTAACCAGCTTTGTAGGAAGCCTGCTTCACTAACATTCTGCTCTGCCTGAAGCGAGTCATCTGGCCAAGCACTGGTGAGCAGAAAAAATGTCCACTCGCTACCACCAAGCTGCTAGTGATAGCTACCTGGAAATTCTGAAAGAGGCCACCAAGAGAGACCTGAATCTTTCTGATGAAGATGGCATGACCCCCACCCACCTGGCAGCCTACCATGGGAAGTTGGAAGCCTTAGAAATCATCTGCAGCAGAGGGTAAGTTCAACCTCATGGTTTCACTTTTTAATTTAATCTTTTTACGTCGTTGTTCATTTGTTATAGCATTTGGCTTCTACCCTCAGGTGTAATCCCCATCAAATTCCCATCCCCAAATCACCCGTAAAGCATCACCATAGTCTCTTGTATGCTTTACAACCTCGTGGTTTCAAGTGGAGACAGTGGATAAGGCAGGATATTGCAGATGGCAGAAACAAGCAAGAATGTCAGTGTGAAGGAGGCCTCGGGTGCTGTTTTCACACTGAAATGCAGCCCTCTGGTCACAGCTCACCACTTAAGAGCCATATACAAATAGATCCTGAACATAAAGCTCTGCTCTCTGCCTTGGAACAGGGAGAACAGAGAATTCAATTCTGAATCTTTTTAAACCTTTTCCATGAAAGTGAAGTGGCTCACCCCCTCAAAAGAGATGATTGTTCTCCTTAGTTTTAAGGTGTCAACTTTGATGGGAACAAGTGATATGATTTTCTCTTAATTTTTCATCGATGCCATTGAAATCTAACAGCATTTTATTAATACTCAATCCTAGTACAACCCCAGGATTCTTAGATGGAGTCACTGGCTTTATAAACTATGAAGAGGACCCTTAGCTTAGCTCAACTTCATTACTCTCTAGCCACTAGACATATACATTTATGTCCTTATCCACAACTCTACATGAGGAATTACTAGCTCTTTGCTCGTCTACTTATTATCAAAGGGGCTAGGCAGTATTGGAAATTACTTTAGCCCAAAAGGGGTAAAGAATGTAAAAAGGAAAATACAGACACTGCATGAATTAATTTCAATTCAATACACATTTACCCATGCACACACCTGCCAGCCATTATACACCTCCAGGGATGCTGTGGCCAGCAAGAGACAAATTTGGACATAGCTGAGAGAGGGAGACAGACATTAAACCAATCATGGATAATATGCTTTTATAAAAGAAGAAACAGGTCATTGGAGTAAATAACACGGACATCTACCCCAGTCTTGGGAGGAGAGGAGAGTCTCTGGGCATTAGAGCTGCCATTCGAAAGATAAGGAGTTACCCAGCTGAAGATGGAAGTAATGTGTCCCCAGTGAGTCTACTGGGCATTCCAGGAACTGAAGTGCTTAAGTGTGTCTGTCCGTAGTTTTTCTTTAAGTGGGGAGAGTTCAAGTTGTAAGAGACAAGATCGGATCACAAGAGCTTTGTAAATTCTTACACAGTTCTGAGCTTTATCCTAAGGTCATGGAAGCCACTGTTGTGGGCTTTCACAGGGGAGCTACTTCCTTGATTCTGTGTTTGCAAAATTTGCTCAGGCAGTTAAATACTGGTCAGGTAGAATGTTTGGGCTGTTTCGGTGGTCAAGATGAGAGATGACTGGACTAGGGGAGTGGCAATGGGAATGGGGTCACATGAATGGATTAAGGGGCACTTAGACGTAGAATCCCTTTTGATTGACTGGGTGCTGGGGGTGGTTGATAAAGGAAAAGAATGAACAAACCTCCAGGTCCTGCTTCCAGTTTGTGAAGAACTTAAAGAATCAAAGGTGGAGAAAGCTCCTGTGTGGAGCACTGAATGAGCATTGTTAGTCATTCATCTTGCACAAAGATTTGATATTTCCTTAGGAAAAACTCCTAAAGCCAGAACTGTTGATTCAAGAGTGTGCCAAGTTTTAAGGGGTTTTGGCATATACTGTGCCTGGAAACTTGAACTTCATGCTTCTGCAAGCTTTGTTTATTCCCCTATACTCCTGCCAAATTAAGTACTGTTTTTCTTTTTAATCACTGCCTATCTGAACAGGCAAAATAAAAAAGGGAATGCTTTGTTTTCATTTGCATTTCATTGATTACTAGTGAGTCTGATTACCCCTTCTTACATAGAAAAACATTTTTGAAATAATGACTGTTTTTTCTGAGAACATCACAAAAAATTGAAATCACCTTCAGCAGGAGAGACTGAATTGGAATCATTGCTCAGAGAAATTTAATATTAGCAAATTGCCTATTTAGAGACAGTAATCACAATCAATAAAAATTATTGCCCAAAGACACTCATCTACCAAAATGCAAGGGCAAATATGATTTTTTACAAATTCCTTCTTTGAGTTTCTTTTTTGGAAAAAAGTGAAAGGGAGGACAAAATCAACATTAGACTGAAACCACAGAACATCACTATTGGACTCAAATGGAGCTTGTGACTACTTGGCAGGTAAATGTCATAGCTTATCAAGAAATGTGAAAGACATCCAGGATCGAAAGACGAAGACCGAATTCAGCAGGACCCCGTGAAACTTATTAATAGAGAATATTTTTTATTTAAGTTGTGTATCAGCTTGGAAAATTGTGTGTAAGTAGAATACGGCAAATGGAAATAGCTTCCATGCACCAGGGAAACTCACAAATCAACTTAGTGAAAGTCATTTGGAATTTTGCCTCTGAAATCTTAAAAGAAAACTCACCTGTGGCATCATTTCAGGTTTTATTCATATCCTTCCTCTTATCTTGAAAGGGTTATTTAAGATCCCCTGGGTGCGGGGAGGTTCCACTGCTCTTTGGCATAAGCCCATAGCATTTCTAACCACTCTATTAACCAGACTCACTCCTCTCAATCACCTTTTTTTAAATTACCCAATCCAAGGAAATTTTAGAGAAACTTATTCAGTACATTTTTACATTTAAGGTAAGGTCCTTTACAATCGCTCTGTGACGTGTAGACTTACAGAATCTTGACTATGGTGTTTGGTTAACATAAAATAAAAAGTGAAATGACATATCTGGAGATAAAACATGGAGTTCCTTAAAATCCCAACTGTGCTGAGTTTGAAAGGAATTTCCTTTGATCCAAAACGATTTGAACAGGTCAGTAATCCAGAGGCTCTTGAAAGTGCCCAGAAGAACTGTGGTTTTCAATATTTGCTTTCCTTTGATTCAGTTTCATTTTCTTTCCCTCCTCTTTGCACTTAAGTGTCCTTTGCCCCCCATCAGGCACTGGGCTCCTTAATTATACCCTGTTATAGCACCCACATGTGCATCTGCTCACAGTGTTCTCTGCTAGGAAGGAGGTTCCAACTGCCAGCTTATGGGCTGGATCTAGCCCACAAGTATGGTTTATTTGGACTTCACTGTATTTTTCTTTTAAATTTGAGCCAACATTAAAAATTAATGTTGCCATGAAAAATTTAAAATGCCACATGAAATTTGGGATGTCTGGTTTTGTTTGAATAATGGAGCCCTAGCAATAGCGTGTCTGCTTTTATTCAAGGTAGCAAGTGGCCAGGCAGGAGCAACACTGTCCTCTCCCTACATGGAGCTTGCACTTGTCAGTGACTTAGTCCAAAGAACAAGCCAGGTCTCGTTCAGTTATGTACGTTACCTTCTTGCTTCCTTAGGCCAGGAGATACTGTTGATACAAAGGACAAAAAGACACAGCTTTGCCCTCTGGGATATACTAGGTAATTAGGACAGGTGTATTGGGTAAGACAGTGTTAAAAAGCTCCAAGAGTTATTGTGGTACTGTGAAAGGTACTAGATAGATGTGAGAAAAAAATATATATAAAAAATTAAGCATTATAGCTTTAGAGACAAGTTAGAGATAATAGGTTTATTGAATAGTCATGATGTACTAAGCACTTTTCTCTGATTAACTTATTCACTTAACAACTCTGTGAGTAGGTACTAGCCTCGTTTTATAGGTGAGGACACTGAGTCCTAGACAATTTAAGCTCGAGGTCTTGTAGCTGGGAAAGTTGGACTTGGGGGACGGTAGCAGTGACATGTAAGACCCAGTTCTTAACCTGCTCAAGAGAGAGAAGTAAATTTTTTAAAAAAAGATTAATCCATCCATGCACACAAGAACTGGGTACAGGCCAAAGGTGTGTGTGTGTGGCGGGGGGGGGGGGTAAGAGGTTTCACCAGAGACAGAGTGGGGAGCAGAACAGGCGATCGATGAAGTACACTGCTGAGGGGAGCAGCGGGCGGGACAGGGGAGGTCTGCCGCGCCATATGGGTCACTTCCTGGCTGGGGATCAAACTTTCTGCTGCAGTGGCTGCAGAAAGCTTCACAGTGCTGTGCTTTAACCCTTTGTGCCACCAGGGAGGACCCAGAACTGCTTAATTTTTAAGAAGTTTGAAATCATCAAAAGTAAGATACATAAACTTATAATTTAATAAATTAACACTCGAAGCTTCACCTCCTAATTATCTAGCCCCACTTTACTGTTACCGTGCTCTTGAGGCTGTGCGCCTGTTTGGTCTGGGTGGCAGGAATCACTCAGAGTGGAATGCTGTTGTGCGCTCATCCATACTCACATTAGGAGCTGGGAATTTGCCACAATTGGTATTGTAATACCACAGAAATAGGCATACACTAAAAGTCAGGGCTGTGATTGTCTCCCCAGGGTTCCTGGGAAACATGACCCAACCATGGCTTCAAAAGCCTAATTGATCTAAATTAAACAGGTAATTCTATTGCTCTTTTCTTAGTCCTAGGACCCAAATTTGACCAGTGAGACGTGAAACTCCTCTGCTGGAGAGTGTCAGAACAGCTTTCCTGGCTTCTAAAGCAAAGACAAAGGATAGTGATGGGCTTCCTCTGTTTTGGGCTCTGAGACCTCTGGATGTGGCCCATCTGGACTTCCAGAAGTTATCTCAACCATGCTAAGACCAGATAAATGTGCCTTTGTCTTTTGTTTTTGTTTTCATTTCTATTTGGTGGGAACCTCATGTCCAGAGGGGAAAAAATGTATTTTATCTATTTTCTCTTCCAGGGGAGACCCCAATAGATGTGACATCTGGGGAAACACTCCTCTACATTATGCAGCTGCCAATGGCTACACCCACTGTGTCTCGTTCCTGGTCAACTTTGGTGCCAACATCTTTGCTCTGGACAACGACTTACAGTCTCCACTGGATGCTGCTGCCAACAGAGAGCACAATGAATGTGTGGCTCTCTTGGATAAGGCTGCCACTGCCCAGAATGTCATGAACCCCAAAAAGGTTGCCAGGCTGAAGGAGCAGGCTCAAAAGAATGCCATAAAGAAGATCAGGGAGTGTGAGAAGCTGCAGGAGAAGCATCACGGTAAGATGGCCTACACCTCCAGCCAGGAGGAATCTATGTCTTCTTTCAGGGGCTCTTTCTCCATATCATCCTTGTCAAAGAATTCTTCTTCTGGCACATTTGGGCGGCTGTCTAAGGGCTTTCAAGACACCTTGAAGTTAAAGCCCAAGAAGAATAAAGACATAGAGGAGGAGCTACAAAGAGAGAGAAGTGGGCAGAAGAATATGAGGGAAGTGTTCAGGGAAGAGGAGGAGGGGGAGGAGGAGTTCTTGGGGGACTTCAGGAGGAAGATCCAGCTCTTCACACAGGAAGAGGAGGAGGAAGACAGAGGTGCACACCAGGAACCCATTCTCAACCGTCCGGGTCTAGGGAGTGTCATTTTTAGAAGGAACAGGATGTTAAGCTCTGAAGACCTCTCAGCTAGCAGGAGGGAGTTGGAGTTTAAAATGGCCAGTGATATCCTCCAGTTTCCAGGACCAGGAAAGGCTGCTGAGGAGGGGGAAGAAGACGACCATGAAGAGGATCTGCCGTGGGATGAGGATGAAGTGGACTGGGAAGAAGACATGGTGGATGCTTCCTCCTTGGAGGTGTTCTTGCACTCCCACCACCTGGAAGAATTCCTCCCCATTTTCATGAGAGAGCAGATGGATCTGGAAGCGCTGCTGCTTTGCTCTGACGAGGACCTTCAAAACATACAAATGCAGCTGGGGCCCAGGAAGAAAGTGCTTAACGCCATAAGCACAAGGAAGCAGGTGATCCAGTGCCCTGGGCAGCTGGTGGACACCAGACTCTGATGGACTGTGGTCTCTACTGAAAGAGTGGCAGCGGTGGGGTGATGCTGTGGCCTGCTGCAAACGCTCCAGGCAATGCCTCCATTTTTAGCTGACAGGGTGAGATACAGTTTCTAGGATTTGGGTGCTGCCTGCCTGAGGAAGAGGCTCAAATGCTGTTCTGAGAAATACTCTACACCTGGCAAATAAACCAGCATGGGAAACCCAAGGAGACCTCGAAATTCAAACAATGTTTGCTTTCTTTTCGATAGTTTTGAATATAGCATAGGTTCATCGGATGACAGAGAAGGGAGAGCCATTTTTTACATTTCTAATTCTGCACTTAAAATTATAATCTCTCATCACACTACTCTGGGGCTTCCTTTCCAATCCTCATAGCCGGGGGATGGTGACTCTAGTCATGTCTTTAGGTCTCTGACTTTGCCAATGGACTAGGTTTCTTTCCTTAGCCTGGGGCTTGATGTCCAGCTTAAATGTGTCCAGGCTTTCAGCAGAGGCCTACAAGTAATTAAAAAAAAAAAAATGTGTCTATCATTCTCCTGCCTGGAGACTGAGAGCATGGCAGGCTTGGAAAAGGGAAGAGAGAAATAGCTTCTGGGTACCCAACAGCATTGAGTGTGTTCTCTTTCCACCCATTTCAAATTCACTTGTTGAAGCCTTAACCCTCCCAAGTAAAGGCCTGTACTTACCAGACCTTTAAAGAGATGATTAAGATTAAGTGAGGTCACAGGGTAGATCCCTAATTCCATGTCACCAGTGTCCTTATAAAGAGAAGAAACACAAGAAGGGGTTCACCTGGAGGAAAGAGCCAAGAGAGGAAACCTCAGGAGAAACCAAATCTCCCATCACTTTGACCTTGGACTTTTAGACTCCAGAACTAAGAAAATAACTGTTGTGGAAACCATAGTCCGCACTGTTTCTCAGGGCAGGAGACTAATAGAGCCCCTGAACAGGAGGGTGGGGGAGGAGGGGCAGATGACGACAGGAGAAAAGCCTGACCTACTTGATTTTTCTACAAAAAAAAAAAAAAAGAAAGAAATCTAGATTCTTGGAAAGGGAGATTCTACTGGAAAGGTGAATTTTACGTTTTCACAGTCATCCTCTACATAGATTTTACTTACTCCCATGCCACTCTCGCTGCATGTCTAGACACACGTGGGTTCAACAGGAGAAACTGGTGACAGTGCAGCTAACATTAACGGAATGGCAACCCCAAATTAACAGTTGAGACCCTACGATAGAGCTACGCTTCATTGGATTTTTACATGTTACGCTTCATTGGATTTTTACGTGTAAGTCTACAGATTCCCATGAAGTGGAATTTGCCATTGATGATGTGCAGGATGTAAAAACAGCTGCTTATCTTCAGCACACTTCTTGAGTTGCATATGTTTGGGCTACTTAAAGAGGCCCCGTGGGGGATATAAACTTAGAAAGAGCACAGATGCTCTCATCTGATGAACAATTGGCTCACTCTTTGCCAATGGGCAGATGCAGAAAGGCTGTCAATCATCAAATACATTGCTTGGGGGAATGATTATGTTTACAAATATTGCATTTTGTTGTTATGGAATAAACGGAAGTTGTATTTGCTTTCAGTAATGTGCTGGAAAGCAATTGGCACATAGGAGACACTCAGAAAAACGTGTAGCATCGAGGCCTGCTTCTCTCTCCTGAGCCCAATTTGCCCAGGAACACTCATTGCTGGGATAGAAGCAAAGGATAAGTGCTGGAGGGCATACTATCAACAAAAAGGGTCCTTTCCAGAAGTGCTTTATCATTGCCAGGGTAAGAAGAGTAGGGAAAGCCACTGGGGGAACTCTCCTATGCCCGCTTGCCTAGCTGAGAAGTCCAGAGCTACCCACTACAATGTCCTGTATTTATTGATACACCTCCCACCCCCACCCCCAGGCTGTGAACCAGCCTGCACCCAGCAGATAATATCCAGGCCTGGATGTGTGGCCTGGGCTGGAGGCAGCTTACTTGACCAGCTTCACTGATTCATACTGCCTCATCTCTGTCCCCTAATTTTAGCCACACCAGATTTCTTGAAGCTTGTTAAATAAACCAGGCCTCCTATATGCCTGTGTTTTGTACCTCATCATCCCTTTGCCTGGGAAACTTTCCTCCATGTAGCCAACCCCACCCCACCATGAGGCCTATACTCTCTCCCAGCCCCTAGCCTGGGCTGGGTTCCCTGGCTCTTTGCCCCTCCTCTATATCAGAGTCCTGTTGCCCTTCAGCTTCTGGTTGAGTTTGACCCAAGAGGAGTAGCAGCAGGAAGCCACAAGGTGAAGGGGAAGAGAAATTGGGACCTTTTTTCCATGTTTCTTCCTTGCAGTAAAGTGATGACATTTCTTCATCAAAGCCCACAGTGCCTGTTTGGCAGCCCTCTGCTAGAGCTCCGGGCCTGGGGGTACGGTGGTGTCAGCGTCACTCCCCCCACCCTCCCCTTCCTTGTAGCCTTCCCTCTCCCTATCCAAACAGTGTCTTCATTAACTTCTCTTCAATCAGATTCTCTTCCAACAGTGTGGCTTCTCCCTCCCCCTGGGAGCCAGTACTGCAAGATCCCGAAACAGCAAACATGGGACTGTGATTCTTGTTACAGATCTGTCTCCCCTTCTGGGCTGGCTGGCCTTTGGGGGCCATTTTTTGTTGTTGTAATTCAATCGTCTAGCATAGCATTACGCTATGCTAATAGCTGGAGGCTCTTATGGAAGGAAAAGCTGAGGGGATGGAGGCACTTTTAATAAGCCCATCATGATACAATCTCTTAACGTAGTGACTAGTAAGAACCCCAGAAAAACGCCACAGTCCCTCGGGTGGGAAGAATCGGGTAACATGGGAATATTATCCCAGAACTAGGGGTTCTTTGCAGACAGCCTGGCAAACATGATACACTTTTGGCTAAGTTTCTGCCAGGAGAGGTTTGAGCAGAAAAACAAAGGAAAATAACATGTGTTTCCTCACTGCGGATTTATCTGATAATCTGCCTTGAGGGTGGGAGTGGATGAGGCCTTTAACAGGAGGACAGCATTGCTCTATGATTCAGGACTCCCAGGGATAGCATCTCTGGACCTCAGTTTCCCTATCTGTTGACCACCACAGTAGATGCCTAATAGCTCTTTCCACAGTGATGAGGTGGAGCACACAGACTTGCTTACTCAACATCCAGTCCTTCCTCTTGATAAGCATCACCCTCCCGCCCCTCCCTGGTGGCGCAATGGTTTAAAGCACAGCATTATGAAGCTCTCCGAAGCCACTGCAGCATGAGTTCAATCCTCCACAGGGGGAGCTGACCCACATGGCACAGCAGACCTCTCCTGACCCACCCACTGCTCCCCTCAGCAGTGTATTTCAGTAGATCTGCATTTTCTGCCTCACTCTGTCTCTGGTGAATCTTCTCACCTACCACACCTCTGTCCTATACCCCTGTCCTGTAAGCATAAATAAATAAATCTTAAAAAAAAAAAAGACAAAAGAAACACCCTCCCTCCTGTCAGCTTGGTGGTCAGCGGGGCTGACCACAGTCCTGACTTCAGGGGGCTCATGAGCCAGCTCCCCAGATGACACACTGGCCAAGGGGTGGTCACATGGCCCTGGCTCGGCTGAACAGCTTATCTCCTCTCTTTTAGCCATGATATTAGGCTCAGCCTGGGCGTGTGACAGATGGCCTGGTGTTTCTCAGGTCTGGGACCTGATAGAGTAGAGAATCTCTGTTTCAGCTAGCCTTGCTGAAGAGGACAGATTTAGGAGCTGCAAGTTGGGGTCTGGTGACCCTTGACGCCCCGGCATACATCTGTAGCTGAAACAGGTGCTTCCTAACAGCCAGAGCCAGTGGCCTCCCTTCCTTATTCCCTGAGCTTGGAGCAGTCTGAGTAGTGGCCTCTTCCACTTATGGCCAAAGGCGTCCTGACCTATATGGAAACTCCATTGGTCCTTGAAATTTTAATTTTAAGAAGGCAGAAACAAAAGACGACATATTGTATGATTCACTTTCTAGGAAATGTCCGGAAGAGGCAAATCCATAAACATAGAAAAAAGATCCGTGGTTTTCAGGGGCTGGTGAGAAGAGGGGTTGGGATCAGCCGCTAGTGGTTTCTTTTCCAGGATGATGAGCATGTTCTGAAATTAGACAGTGGTGGTGGCTGCACAACTCTGTGAATTTTCTACACCCCACTAAATCGCACGTTTTCAACTGGTCCATACATTGTAACTCAAGTTACAAAAAGGAGAAAAAGTAGACAGTGATTGCAGCTCCCCAGGGAAGGAAAGGAAGCCCTCACTTCCTTTGCCGTGACAGAAGAGACTGGAGCAAGCACTGCAGAGCCAGAGAATGTTTTATTTCTTGGAATTACAAAAGTTAGTGAAATACCAGGGGGAGGGGTAACACTATCATCTGGAGTAACAGAAGTAGCACGTGGCGGTGCACCCCAACCACAAACACAAATGGGGATCCCGCATCTTAAGGTAAGATCTAAGCAGGCGCCTATCACTCACTGGGGCTAGGGTACCTCATTTGATCTGGGAATCAGGAGACAGCCGTGGCAACAAGCCATGTGTGGTCGGCTGCTGCCCAGCACAGGTCTCTTCGTCTTATTGACCCGATGACCAGGAATCAAACACCAGTTTGGCCGCAACCGTGTCTTCCACCGCCATCCCTAGGGGGGACAGAAACCGGGTTCAGCTTATATCAGCATCATTTTTCCTGAAACAACTCAGACCTCAGGACTGACAGGTGCCTGTCATTTCCTGAGATCTGATAGAGTGGCAGAGCTGAGTGGAGGGACAGACTGGCCCTGGGAGCCCACCCCTGGAGGGCTTCTGCCTGCAGCAACTCAGAGGGCCACGTGCTCTCCACAGAAACCCTCTGCAAATCGGCAGGCAGGATAAGGCCAAAGACCTTGGGCAACGCTTCCTGTCTGGGTCTCGCTCGGGTTGGTCCCCCAGCTCCCTCGAGCTCCCTGTCTGTTCACACCTGTGTCCTCCACAGGAGACATCTTCTGAGTTTCCTTTGACATAAGTTTAAATGACTTACCGCCTGCACTTGCCACGTGCAAATTGTTCTACATCTCATTTAATTTGCACAGAAATTCAAGGTAACAGTAGTGAAGATAACGAGGCTCAGAGAGGGGAGGCCACGTGCCCAAGGATGCACATCCGGGGAGTGACAGACAAGGGAATCCCACCCAGGACCGCACAGTTCCAGAGTCCACACAACATGTAAATGATTGATGGGAATGGTGATTTCTCAATGACTCATTCCATCTCCACTGAGGAGTAAGCAGCCTCTGGGGGAGCTTGAGTTGGGGCCCTTACCCAGAGACTTGAACACCGTGGTCTTCTCACAGTGGGCTGGCTTCACACCCTTCACCACCTCTCCCAGCTCAGCGAAGATCTCAGCCTGTAAATGAACTACAATGACTTGGGGCCCAGAGTTCCTGTCCACTAGGGCTGGCTGCTAAAGCCAGACAGTGTGTCCCTGAACTGGATAGGAACACATTTGCTAAAAAGACCCTATTTAAGCCAGATGATGTCAGGGAGGACGCTGGCCCTTTCAATCCTACCTGGGTGGCACTGTGAACCCAGACACAGCTATGTGGTCAGGCCAGGCCAGGCAGCTCGTGCGGCCTACTCACTAGGACACTGGGTGAGTAAATAAGCCTATTCTTATCTGAACACTCACCGTGGCAGCCACCCCCACTCTTACTGCTATGTCCTGTGGCAAACACCAACGAGGCCAGGAAGTGCTAACAGTCCAATCTTTGGCCACACTGGGAAGTGTTCCAGGTCACAACAGGATTTTATTTCCCAACCCTGTTGCTCTATGGGGCAGCCCAGCCCAATGGAAAAGCTCATCAAGCTTCTCTCTCCAGGGAAAGGGAACTGGAAAACACACATGGCCACCATCACTACCACATTATTCTGGAAGACACTGGAGAGGGTTGCGACATATTCCAGAGCTGCCACCCTACAAATGGGGTGTGCGTGTGGGGTGTAGGTAGGCAGCAGCTCACAGGACAAGAGGCTCACCCCTGACAACCGGACATCTCCAGACTCTTTGAGGGCGGCCTCCTGGGAATCCACGTACAGCACGGCCTGTTTCATGAGCTCGTCATCCAGCTCTCGCCAGTCGGGTCTGCTGGCTCCAATGGCTAAGGCACAGGGAAATAGGTCTAAGTCTGTGCATGGTCACCAATGCAGGAGAGAAGGATGGGGAGCAGGGTGACAGAGGTCATAGTGGGGAGACATCCAGACTTGGAACACATCTCCTCGGCCAACTCCCTCCTGGCCAGCAGCCATGAAGAGCTATTAAGAGGCATAGTGCTGGTCATTTTTCCTTTTGCTATCTCGTCTCATTCTCAATGACTGAGGAATCTAAGCACCCATGTATTGGGTGTCCACTACCTGCAACGTGTACCTCACATGTCACCCCGGTCCTCGCAAGTACACTGCACGTCTGATTCCCATTCAAAAGATGCACAGCCCAAGGCTCAAAGAAGTAAGGGGCTGGCCAAAGCTCTGTATCTAGTAAGCATATCTAGCCCCCCACCAGAGCATGAAGGCCTTCCATGCCTCTTCCAGTTATTGGGAGTAGCGACTCCCCACACCCACAAAGACCCATCACAGAGACTTCCCTTGCAGCTTCATCATACCACACGCTCCTCTACCGCTGTCTGTGTTCTGATCAGTCATTCCCATCCTCAACCCCAACCACTTCTACTCATGACAGAAGGGTCCTGTGTCCGGGCCTGGGGAAGCCCCAATAAAGAGGAAACTGGTTTTATCCCAGCCCCCAGCTTTCACATCCTCTGAAGAGCTCAGAATCATCATAATGAATCCAAGGAACGAAGCCTCCTGGCACTGACACATAAGGTCACACAATCTGCACAACCTGGAGGCCAGGCAGGTAATGAATGTGGGAAATGCTGGTCAGACAGCCTGGACTGCAAACGGCGGAGACCGAAGCCTCCAGAACAAAGCCAGGCTGCTAAAGCAGACAGTCATTCAGCTCCAGCTAATTGTTGCCATGTGAGCATGCAGGCCCAGTTAGATACTCCTTTTATAAAAAGAGAAGCAGGAAACCTATTTGCATGTGTTATTTCTTGATTTTTAGAACACTCTAGGGTCCAAAGAAAACACCTCTACTGGCTGGATCCAGCCCAGGGTGAGTTAGTCTTTGAACCACGATAAAACCTTTAGACCAAAATAAGCGGCTTTCACATGCCCTCTCTCACCACCGCCCAGTAATTTCCACATATTCTCTCTCCTGCTGTTCTCTCTCACTCTAATTTTCAAAGAGAGTGGTATAAAAATGTCTGTTTTGAAGGTTGTTTGTGTCACGTCTGTAGAACAAAAGTGCTAACTAATGAGGCTCGTAAATAAATCATAAGCTAGTGGGAAAAGAACCCAGCTTCTCAGGCCATGCTCTCCCATTGCTGCTTCTCCCCCCACCCCCCCCCACCCCCAATCTTCTGAGTAGGGCAAGTTCTCAAAGGCTTGTGTGAGGGTACTTGGGCAGATGCAGGTGGTCCAGACAACTCAGGGGGGCCTGACACAGACAGGGCTCTGGCCGCACTCAATAGGGACCAAAATGAGTGAAGTCAGCCTCTCAGCCTGTGGGGTCTGGGGTAGGAGGAGAGAAGGGCAGGACAGCTGGCACCAGGTCAGCCCCTCAGTCAAGCTCTAAATGAAATAAAATCTGTGATGGTTGTTTCCCTGTCAGCGGCACTTGGAAGACACTTTTTCTGAAGTATATTTGATACCTCTGTGAATACATAAACCAATTTTGATCTTAGGCCAGGAATTATGAGACGTCTTGATTCAAAACCAAGTCAGCCCTTTCTGGGGGGGAGATGGAAAGTGTGAGAGGAATCCTACGTGAGGGAAAATCTCTCCCTCGTTGGCTTTAAAAATGAGGGGCCTGTGGTAGGGAACGGGGCCAGGGGATAGGGGGGCAGCTTTCAGAGGCTGAGAGTAGCCCCAAAGCAGCAGACACCTTCATCCTGCACTGTGAGGAACCTGCTATGACCCCATGTGCCCAGAACAGGACTCAGAGCTCCAGACAAGGCTGCCAGCTGGGCAACACCTTGATTTAATGCTGTGTGGTCAGAAACCCAAGCTGACCCAGACTCCCAAGCCACAAAAACTCAAGAGAATAAATAGGAGCTGTTTTAAGCTGAGAAAACCACCCCATTAGTCTGACTGAACATTCAGCTCTTATCTATTTCACCAAGAATACTTAACTTCCCAAGTCCTTCCAGTCTTCAGTTCACAAACACTGACCTAACCCATCATTTACCTGCCAACAAAGCCACTTCTTCTCTCCCCTAGACCCACACCTTCGTGCCAGTCCCACACAGCCTGAGATTCTCAATTGCTCTGACCCCTTCCTCAAACATGCCAGATTTTGTTTCCTTCATAGAACTTTGCTGCAGCTCTCTACTTCATCTCTTTCTTTAATTGTTTTTGTGTCAAGGGAATTAAGCACCAACAAGGCAATAACCTTGAGTGTGGGTGCACTGCGCATGCCCAGAGTCTAGAATAGCACCTGGCCTGTGGCAGGGAATCCATAAACATTTGCAAAGGAACCCATAATTGTGATACATTGCTCTTGTCTGCTCATCTGCCAACAGGCAGTGAATTTAGCTTTTGATTTCACACTGGTTCTTGTTACTGAAACATGGGGAACCCATAGCATGGTTAAAGACCTAGTCTTCATGCTCCTCCACCAGAATCCACTCTTCTTATTGAAACATAACATGGAGTATTATTTATATACTAGGGCTTCAGTTGAAATCCCAGCTCTGCCCCCTAAGATCTCTGACTTTAGGCAAGTTACTTTATGCTTTCATGCCTCGGATTACTCACCTGTAAAATCGGGGTTATGAAAACAATAGTTCCTACCTCCTCAGACTTTTAAGGATTAAATGATGGACTACACATAAAGGATTTAGAACAGCATTTGCAATAGTAAATATTCAGTATAAACCAGCTCTTACCATAACCCCCCAGGACCACTAGAAGATCTTTAGAGGCCCCCACAGCTCTTATGTTTTGAACCTCCCCTCATTTTATCACATATTAAAAGGCATCCATGTATCATGCCAAATGTCTTTTGCATGGAAATTTAAAAAGACATTTTTTGTAACTCTAAGTGTTAACCATAACCAACTGAATTTATTAGTTTTAATTTGCATTTTTTGTTTCATATTGCAGAATGAATACTGAATTGTAGGGCTCCTGTGTTTCGAATCCCCTTTAAGAAACTTGGGTGCTTTGCATGATTGAGTCAGACAGTCCCTTGGTCCAGCCTGGGATCCAGTCTGGCCTCCATCTCCCCAAGGCTCATTCAGCCACTCTACTTACCATTAATGTGAGCCCCTGGTTTCACCCATTCACCAAACAAAATAGGCTCTGTTGCCATAGTGACTGTGATGATCACATCTGCTCCAGCCACGGCCTCCTGGACCGATGAACAGACCTGCACATCACCCTCCACAGTGTCTGCAAATTTCTTTGCATTTTCCTTGGTGCGGTTCCATATCCTCACCTTCATTGGGGATAACAAGAGGGACTCATTTCACTGCTTACATTGCATCAAGTTCAAGGAGGGGCTAAGGGAATGTTGGGCCATGCAGGTAAGCTGTGGTGATTGAAAATATTCCCCATCCAGAACGGACACTGAATCAAGGTGCAGCTGCATTCTGGGCAGACACCTGGCCATATATTTGCAAGTGACCTTTTCTACCCCTTTCTGGAAGGAGGGGAATTTTGCATTTCTAGCCTGAGGCACAGTCTTGAGAGGTTAGCAGCATCTACATAGCTTAATGATTAGCTGAGCAAGTTCAGGAGCCAGGCAGGCCAGAAACCAATCCTTGCTCTATCACTTACTGCTAAAGTTTCTTACCTACTTCATTCAGTCTAGGTTTTTATGATGGGGTGGCTGGGCAAATGAAAGATCTGGAAGTTCGAAGAGTAAATGAAACAACAGGTGAAAAGGACAAGAGTGATGAGCATTTGGTACAATCAAGACCCTGGACAAGACTGGGGGTAGGTTATGAGCCTCACAGGACTTCCCAGGCAGCTTATCAGACTTATGAGTCTGGGGAAAGGCCTGAAGAATCACTCGTGAAGGAATATACCAGGTACAGAAATAAATGTTCTAAGTAAGCTCATCAACCAAGATGAAAAATACATGTACAATGGTTAACCAGTCCATCCTTCTTAATATCACACAAGGATTAGGTCATCTGGAAAGGTGACATGTCAATGAAAAACCAATGGAAAAAACAGGACATACAAGTGTGCATATCTCACATGATTAAACCTGGTATAAAACACTGATGACAGAAGACTGGAAAACATCAGCTGCTAATCTTTGAAAACAGGCAAAAGGGTGGTTTTCTTATGTTTTCTTCCTTATAGTCTACATTTCCCAATGCAAAGGCATCATTTTTAGCAATTTTTTAAAAAAGCATAATTTAATCTGCACTATACATAAGAGCAACACAACTTTCCCAGCAGGAGGTGTGAGCCATAATGGGGGCGCTGTCCTAAGACCTGTGATGGGGGTGGGGGGGTTTTGGTGTCCTGCTCTTCAGATCTCATGATCAGGCTTTGGATCCAGGCCTTAAGTAATCCTGAATACTTAAAGACCCCTGGATTCAACTAAGAGAAGTAGAGAACTGGGCTTAAGGGAGGACTGAATGTATACAATGGACATAACAGTGTTCCACTGGGTGGGTCACTCTGTCTTCAGGCAAGAAACTGCAAAAGGCTGATTCATGCCCATCCCCTCACAAGTTGCCCCCAACAGGACTTCTAGGTGGGTCATCGCTGTCTGGTCTGCACTGGACTTCCACTGTGTCAGCCATGTTGCCAAGAAGCACAAAGGTCATTGCCAGCACTCTCCCCCGGGCGCTCTCCCAGACTTACCTCCTTAAATGAAAACTGCTCTGAGAAGATCTCATAGTGGCTGTAGGCCTGGACCCCAGCCCCAAGGATGCACAGCACTTCACTTCTGGGGGGTTTCAAGAACTATTTGAGAGAAATGAGTTGAAAAATTTTAAGGATACTCCAGCAACCAGGAAATGGCTGGCTAGAGAAGGATAGTTTGGTCTCAGTGACTTCTGCCCCTTCCCTCCTCCTTCAGCTTCCTACGGTTTGGAGGGGTAGGGACTGAGGAAATATAATTTGGTGTTTGTTTCCTTCTGTTGAGTAGGGAGGGAGGAAGGAGCCTCCTTGGGGCTGGTAGGTGTGAGCCAATGCTTACCCTCTTTTCTCCTTTAGCCCAGATACTGATCCCTCGTGAGCTAGATGCTCCTTTGATATTTCCCTCTTAGCAGTGAAGAAATTGAAGTCTTGAGAGGTTAGGTAGCTGGCTTAGGGTCCTCCAGATGCTAACTAGGAGTTTCCCAAGGCCACACTCTTTCTCCTGAGCCCCACACTTTAGGGACATGACAATACCCACTCACAGAGTCCTGGCTTGCCTCTAAGAGCTCCTGGAAACCATGAGTCATTGCAACTCAGGATCCTCAGCTCCATATCTGAGCTCCCGTTTCTGAGGGTTCCATCTCTGTCTGACTTCTTTGGAAAAGGGCATGGAGCTGGCATTTGTAGTGCCTGATGGGCGTATGTGTGCCTGTGTTTGGGAGGGCGCTCAACAGTCAACTCCCATCAAATGTCACGTCTCCAGGGGAGTCTTTCTGAATTCTCTGATGGAATTCACCAGTACATAACATTTATTTATTATAGGTTTGTTCCTGGGTTTGGGGGTTCGTCGTCCTTGAATATGGCCATGAACAAATTCAAAGCCATGTCTAGGCAAAGCCAAACAAAGCTCATTTAGATAGTGCACCCAGTCGTGGCCAGCAGAGTCCAAAGGAGAACAAATGCAAGGAAAGTTGGGGACTCCAGGCTTAATGCGCTACTCACCCCACCCTTCCCCACCCTTCCTGAGGTGTAGTGTGCAGACAGTCCCGGGGTGTTGGTTTATCAGTTGCTAGGTCAATGACCTTTCTGTGCTCCAGGGATGCAGTTTTCTCAGTCCCAGCAGCAGGCTGGGGTAGGGTGTGGCTTCCCCCCTTTGCCACTTCTTGCTCTCCTTGGGCTTTATCAACCTGCCTATAGGTTGGGGTGTGGGACTGCCTTCTCCCCTCTGGGCAGCTCTGGGCTCTCCCAAGTGGCATTGGACCTGGCAAGACTTCCCTAGGGTCCTGGGCATATTGGCTGTTAATTTTCTTTAGGCACCATCCTCCCTGCTCTAACCGCCTAAAACATTTATTTTCTTGTGCTGATCTGTAAGCTCCATGAGAATAGAGATAAAATGAGCGCACTGTCTGCTATTAACTAAAGAAATAGAGCGAGGTTTCTCAACCTCCTCAACTTGAGCATTATGGACCCTTGTCTGCCAACTGGCCCGTGCACTAGAGGCTGTCAGTGGCATCCCTGGTCTTACCCTTCAGATATTGGCATCATCACTTTGTTCCCAGCAACCCTTATTGTCCTTCAAATCTCAGCTCAAATATCCATTATGCAGAAAAACCTTCTCAAATCCCACGTTAGAGCTAACCCCCCCCCATTTATATTTTTGTAGCATTCCACCCTTTTCATTCAATGCCTTTGTCAAATTTGTGGCTTCACATTTATTGATAATGGTCTTTGCATATCTGTCTCCCTAGAATATCTGTGGATTCTGTGCTGGGTGATGGCAGGCAACGTATCAGGTGTTACTCACCCATCTACTGCCCAGGATGAGTGCAGGGGTTGGCACGTGGTAGACATTTGTTGCATAAATCCATGCCAGGGGTATACATCCTAATGTATATTGGCCCCTTGAGGGTAAGGGTATGTGCAATCCACAGTTAGTGGTCTGTGATATTTGAGAGCTTCCTATACTTCTTACCCCAAAAATCTCAAATGAAAGAGAAAATGTGGGAAAGAAAATACCCTACCCTTGCCAGGCAAAAAAAAAAAAAAAAAGAAGATAGAGACCCTTTGTTCCATGTTTCAGTAGTTCCTCTCAGCCACTGGGGATAAATTGGGAAGTTTTAACCCAAACTTTGAAGCATCATGCAACGATTCTCGATTCTTCTGAGAGTGTAGATTTTTATCAGTGCCACAAAGTACAGTGTAACTGAGAGCTGGATCTAGACTGATTTGGTTGCCAAATCTGGTTGATCCTTAGAATCAACAAGAAACATTAAAAAAAAAAAAACTAGATTCTGGGAACCCCACCATCAACAATTTTGATTCTGTGACCTTGGAAATCTTATTTAAAAAAAAAAAATCTCCACAATATGTGCTGCATAGCTTGGCCTGCAAATTACTAACCTCGGCCAAGATTTCCAGCTACCCGGGTTTTGTGACTTCAGGAAACCTTAGACTCCATTTCCTTCTGAGCGAAATGAGACTAATAATATTAGCTCTGCCTTCTTCCCAGAAGATCCATCAAGACGTTGGGCTTGGAATTGGAAATTACTTTGTAAAATACCAAAGAGCTTTACACAGCAAGGCAGAATTGTCAGAGTAACTTGGTTCCTAAGTTACCAGCAAACGTTTCTCAAGGAGCTCCTGATTATTTCTATCTGAGCTGAGTCTCGATGTAATTTAAAAACCAGTTCATCTACTCCCTATGCAATGAACAGATTAATCCTTGCATTCTTCCCCCCATCTCATGTGTTTAGAGGACCTTCACACCAGCAGCCTGAACAGTGGGTCTCTGCTGCCCCATCTTACTCCTCCATCCCACTTTTTTTAAGCACAGGTCTCATGAATCAGCATCCCGGGACTGATGCATTTTATGTAAACAATTCCATATTCCAATTGGCTTCATAGATACTCAATTTTCTAAGCGTCCTCATCTTAACGCTAACCTCTCAAAATGTTGGCTTTACTTAGGGCTGTCCCGATGCTGGGGGACCATCCTCTGTATTGCCTCCTCGCCACTTTGGCATGATTTATGCCCTGCCTTCAGTCTTGACTCAAATGCCAGCTTCCCGGTGAGGTCTTTCCTGGATAATTTAAAATGTCACCCCTCCCCAATATTTTCAGATCTGCTTTATTTTCATCCTTCTAACACACGCTGTTTTCTCGTTATTTTTATAACAAATTGCAGCATCTTAATTAGGCTAAAAGGGGGCTGTTGGAAAATTATTTCTTAGCATCTCAAACTATGCATTTTATGTTTTATTTTATGGTTTCCTGCGTGTGAGCTGTTTTGCCCAGTGCCATATTCCTAGCATTTGAACAGTGTCCGGCACGTGGTAGGATCTCAGTCAGTGTGGACTGCATCAACCCCAGGGTTTAGCTGGGGACTCTTCGGTTTGCCCTCTGCTCCTTGTACAGAGCTAGCTCTAGCCAGGTGCAGCCACACTGATTTACCAGCAGCAGAGCTTACAGGGGCAAAAAAAGCAGTCCCAGGAGTTGGGACTGCCACTCAGTAGCTGTGTGATCCTGAGCCATTCACATAACCTCTCTGGGCCCCCTTCCTATGCTGGGCAAATGGAGATAATCTGTCTCCGGTCTCCTTTCAGGGTTGATGTGAAGCTCAGGAATAACGCATCTAAGGTATCATGCTCATTAAGTGATAGCTAGTAATTTTGTGAACCTCTGTGTGCACCTGACACCCCATATCTAGCATAAGGAGTTCTAGCTCGGTCCAAGGGAAGAGCAAATAAGTTCCTCCCTCCTTAGACTTTCCACCTGCAGACATCCCGCCCAAACAGCTCAACCGCCAGCACAGCCAATACCTCTCTTACCTTGGTGGCAATGGCAGACACTGCAGCTGTTCTTTTTGCAGTTATGACATTTCCATCCATGACCTTGGAGGAAAGGAGAGAAAAGAAATAAGGGACAACCCTATCTGCTACTAAAGCAGGAAGAAGCACCTCAAAAAGAGTAGTCCTAGAAGAACAGTCACCCTCTAGAGAGCACAAGCAGGTGCCAAACTAGCTCTAATTCCTCCTTACAAGAAACACAACTTGCAGCCAATATCTTAATTTCACCTGTAAATAAAAAGCTAGTGCCAGCCATTCAGAGGGCTTATGTGAGGATTAAAGGCACTGGCCAGACAGGAAAATGTCCAGCACATAGGATGCCCTCAAGCATTACCCATGTCCTATGATCCTCAGTGACATAAGTCAGATGAGGAAAGACTCCATTCACTCAGAGGTGGTAGAGAACCAAACAAATGAATTAACTAAAACAAAAATAAAATTTTAGACTGGTAGACTGATAAATAGATACCAGAAGGGAAGGAGTATGGGCAAATGGGATTACAGGAATCAATTATAAGGCAAAGACTAGAATTGGACTTGTAGTATGATCACATGTAATGTGACTTCAACAAAAAATTATTTTACATCAAAATTGTTTATTTTCTTTTCTTGCCCTAGGATTTTCAAAACACCAAACTAAGAGGCAACTTGAGAAATTAAGAGTAAGCCACTTGACGTCTGTGTAAGGGGCCCTGAGACTCTCTCCAGGAGCCTCCACTCCTGGTCATATGTGGGCAACGTGGATAAGTTGCCCAGCACACCCCTTACACTAACCTTCCCCAGGTGTTGCTGGCTAATAACACCCACAATCCTTTGCACTGCCTCCATTCAAAAGTTATTCATGTCAGTTGCGGACATTTGATTCCTTTGTGGGTGAGGATGCAAATCACTTGGCTATTGAGCAGACTGGAAGGATCTGGATCTAAGGGCTTGTTTCAAAGCCTCATCTGTCCTACTTTCTTGGGGAGCCACTCTTGGGAGGTAGTATGGATGCCATCTTGGATGAGTATAGGTTGGGAAGAGGTAGATACTCCTCCCATAGTGTAAGGAACAGCTGGTTTTCTTGGGGAGCCAGAAATTCAAGGAGGAGGGTCTAAGCTTCCAGTTGAGGCTTGGGTGAAATTAATGAGATTATCCCTGATGACAACACAGCTGGTCTCATGCAAGCCGGGAGGATGCAGGAATTGAGTATAAACTCCAGTCAGACATTCCTGGGCCCTTCACTAGCCAGCCAGTGACCTCAAGCGAATTGCCTCTTCTGAGCTTTGGGCCCTCATCAGGAATTGGGGGTGGGAGGTAGTATTTGTTGTAAAAAAAAAAAAAAAAAAAAAAAAAAACTGCCCCAGGGGGACCCTCTCAGAAATGGTAAGCACCCATAGTGGGAGTTAAAAGGCAGCAGAACACAATCTTAAGAGAGTATAGGCCCTGGATTTTCTGAGGAGGTTTGAAGTCCAGCCGTGCTATTTATTAACCACTAAACCTGGGTCTGTGGCTTGATTTCCTCACTGCAAAATGTGGGCAATGATATTACTTGCCTCTGAGTGGTTGTAAGCATTGGAACTTAAAATATGTGATTTTTTAAAAACGGGGCCTGACCCACAAAAACTGCTGGATAAAAGGGCTTCTGCTGGTGGTTGACGCTATCGTTCTATGTTAAAACAGATCACTGCCCCTCAGGCAAGCTCCAGCGACTGCAGAACAGTCCTCTTCCAAGTTGCAGAGTCCCTAAGAGAAGTTTTCTTGGCTACGGGGTTTGTTCACGCTGAGTATTTGTGGGAATTGATACAGGATATGCACTAGTGAAAAATGCGAGGTTATTGCGTCCAGTCAAAAAGACGCAGAGGCAGTGGGCCCTGAAGTGTTGTGCCTGGTGGGGAAGTACTGGAGACAGACACAGTCACATTACCGGCACTGCTGCAGATTCAGCAACTGAAGAGAGGGGTCTCCGTAGTCACAATCAAAACTCTCCTTCCCAGCTCTGGAGATCTAACTTCTAAGCCCAGTGGGGTCCCCTCCACCCCAGGTTGGGATTTGCTCACCGCCAGAAGAGAGCCATTGCTGGGCTCAAAGAGAAGCACAGTGGCCTGGTGGGAGGGGACGCTGGAGGAGGCGGTGTGGCCCTCGTAGAAGGTGACCAGCTTGGTGGTCAGCGCGTCCTCTGCGGTGCTGTAGGCAGGCATGACCCCCAGGAAACTACAAAACGAGAGGACGCAGCTCCAACTCCTTCCCACCAACGCAGGTGGGGACGGGGTGCCCCACCAACCACCCAGACACCCTTTCTGCAGCCCTTTCCCTTCCCCTGCTCCTCCACCCTTCCCTCGGGCAGTCGGAAGCATCTGGCTCTGGAGGACCAAACCCGCAACAGTCCCCTCTTCTGCTAGCTGCGTGCCCTTGGGTAAGTCACTTGACATTTCTGAGTCTCCGTTCTCCCAGCGGGGCAATGAAGGCGTCCGCCCCAGCCTCCCCGGAAAGGCTAATGCACTAAACAAGGTAACTCCTGTTACCTTGGCGCACTCTTGGCAGGGTGGGTGACACATAAAAGGTGGCAGTTGTTCTAGCAGTGAGACGGTGCTCTCACCGCTTTCTTTCTTTCCCCCACCGCTCCCCTCGCACCTCCTCCTCCTGCTCCTCCTTTCTCCAGCCCCTGGCCCCGCCTTCCTCACTCACCCCCTGTGCTTGGTCACTGGCACCACGGTGCGCACGGGCTGCATGACCCCTCCGTCCGGGCCGCTGGAGAAGTTGGCCAGAGCCACCTCCAGAGGCTCGATGAGGAGGCTGGCGCTGCGGAGATGTGCCTGCACCTCCGCGGCGCCCAGGAACGCTGGTGCCCGGCTCATGTCGCCGCCGGCCTCGAAACTCAGCGGGGGAACCGCGCTGGGCCCGGGGAGCTGCCGCGCTTAAGAAGAGGTCGGCGCGCTGGGGTGCCGCCTACTGTCACCGCTCCCTGCGGGGGGCGGAGCAATGACGCTCCCCGCCTCCGGCCTTTCCCGGGGTGGGAAAGCTGGACGGGTTTCCCAAGATTGGAGTTGGGGCGGCGGACTGGGAGTTAAGTTTTCTTGGGTTCATCTTCTCAATCCCTATAATTAGCCGTAGCCACAGGCCTTGCAAAACGTGTTAGGAGAGGGCTTTAGCACCCCCGACCCCCAGCTTCGCTATTTGCTCTTGGGTGGTCCTGCCTGGGAAAGAGTAGATGCGAGATCTGGGCAAAGGATGGCAAGGCTCTCTTTTTGCTTAAATTATTGCCTGCTGCTAGGAGATCTTAGATGAAAGGAAATAGAGGGTTATTAAAATACATTTTTGCTTTCGATTCTGTCCCCATCTGGAGTCTCTTATCCCAACCACCCTCCCACCTTTCTTTGGAAAGGAGTAGCATGCTCAAAGAGATGAAACATTTAGAAAGATGGGTCTTGCGCCAAAGTGTGAGATGAAACAGATGAACCGGAGTGTAGCCTGGGAGACAGATCAGGAGAACGCGGTGCTTAAGTTGTGCTGCCTGATATTTTGGCTGGGCGCTAATTAGAGCATTTCTCAGGAAATAGTCACATCGTAATAAAAGACAGTGCATGGGTAAGTGTCAAAATATGCACCAACGAAATAAGAAATCCTATATAACGTACTTAATACAGTGTGCAAAGTAGGTGCAACAAACGAACCTCTTAGATCATCAAATGAGAGAAAAGGCTGCAGTAGTTGGGAAAAGTTAACTTCAGAAAAGTTGATTTGTTGTTTTCTTTTTTGTTGCTGTTGTCAGCTTACCACTCCTGAGAAACGCATGCCCACTGCTTCTGGGCTTTTGGGCTAAGGTCAAGTGTGGAAATGCATGCCCAAGGCTACTGGAAATCCAGTAATGTTTATAGCCCATTTATTGTAATGTTACAATTTTTATTAGGCAGTGTTTCTTGGGGTTAAAAAAAGTAAAGGTCTCCCTCACTTTTAGAAAGTCTGTATTACACCAAAAACAAACTATTTGCTTTTTTAAAAGACCTGCATTAGTACCTGTTCTCACTAACTTAAAGAAATCGGAAGGGGACTTTCAGTTTTACAACAAAAGGCAAAAATCATAGAGAGCGGAGTGTTAGTTTTGCTGTCTCCTCCTAGATCCCATCCCAGACATGAGAGAAGCCCCAGGGAGCCCTTCCCGGGCAACTATTTTACACACGATCATGTTCTTCATGTTAGAGTTAGAGTTTTATGTGTCATTTCGTATGAATTGGCAGGTTAATGTTTGGATCTACAACACTCAAAAATTTAATACATAAATGAATCATAACTGTTCTTCACTTTATGCCATTTCAGCTTACGAATTTTTTCATATGAATGCGCTAAGCAGTTTGATTCATTATTCTTGAGAAAGCAGCAAAACCAAATGCTCACTAACTAAAAAAGGTATGAAATAAGAAAGCCAGATGTGTATTTGCTACCATAGTGAATTACAGATGTGAGTACTAGTAAAATAAAAATAACAGAATTTATTTTTAGTAAATTCTGTAAGAACAGGACTAGTTTGGAAATTATCTTCCTTTGAAAGCTGTGCATAACATCATCCAGGTCTCACTAAAGAAATATGGGGAAAATTGGTGCTGTTTCATTTAGTTTTGTTGGGACCAGAGACACAAGCAGCTAACTGTTCCCAAAGCTCCAGTCTTCTCATAATGTAAGTTATGTTGGGTTGCGGTTAGGATTTGTATCCTTAACAGTTAGAAGGGCAGGGAGAAGGGAATTCTTAGGTTATTACATGTGCCAGAAGTCAAACTGCCAGCCTGTGCAGGCTCTCATCATGTCGCCTTTATTACTTACTTAATGTAGTATATTAAAATTTGTACTGTCTTCCTGCTTCAATAGAAGCAAATTTAGCTTAATGAATATGAGGGTGCTATTTCAATCATTTCCAATTTGCATCAGAATAAAAGCATACCTATTTAAAAGGCAGTGGGCTGGTGAACCTTTTCAAATGCACTTCCTTATCAGGTTTTGGGTCATACTACCCTGATAAAGTTTAGCAGCCAAATATGTGTTTCAGATCAGAAGCCTGTGATCACCTTTGAAAAGAAGGCACCATAGAAAGGGGGGGTGGGGTGCGGTGGGGCAGCTTCTCCCCCCTTCCCAAGACTGCTGGTAGCAGATGTGGTTCTGGGAACACAAGTTTGGTGACCAACTGTAGAGCAATAATCTAGAATCTAGATTAGGAGATGATTTTTGTACTGTGACCCCAACGGTTTGTACAACAAACACTTCCCTGCGTCAACTAGTCCAATGGGAAGGCAAAGAAGGTAATTGAAACTGTGGTGTCACTCTCCTTCGCTGTGGCCATGGGTTAACACCTTTGGGTGATATTGTAAATAAAAACACATCTGGTTTTCTTATTTCATACCTTTTTTAGTTGGTGAGCATTTGGTTTTGCTGCTTTCTCATTTTGAACCAAACTATTTACTGTTTGCTTTCTGTGCTTAGTTTACTCAGAGGTTCCACCGAAACAGTGGTTGAGATTATTAGATACATTTAGGGATTTATACAAATGATCACATTAGTTTCCCACTTTAATTCATTAATACATTGTATGAACAGATGATCTAACATCCCACTTTGTTTTTTAGTTTTCTTCTGTTTTTTTTTTTTTAGTTTTCTTTTAGCTGCTATCCCCATAATATCACTTGGCATAAGAAGATTAGGAGCTGTGGGCTTAGTGTTACCCAAGCAAGGGTACTGGGGTCGGCCAACTTATATTTGAATCTTGGATATGCCACTTGTATGTATTGGATGACCTTGGAGAAGAGACACAGTTTTCTCAACTCTAAGATCAGTTATCAGTAGTAATATAAGAACCAACCTCTGGAACTGAGGCATAAATGAAACCACTTTGGCAAGTATTTAGCTGGTGGTGTTGAACAAGAATTATGAATAAGTATATTAGTAAGTGTCATTTAAATTTTTAGTAAAATAATGAAACTACTGCTGATAGTAATGTTTTACATATATTATTAATAAGTTCATTAGTAATAGAGGGGACAGTGATCAGGCTGCTGGGTTAACTTTCCCTGGCCAGGGGTTTCCAAGACCTTGCCATGGGACAAGACTAGAGAGATTGCAGGCCCCTCCTACCCTGCAAGAACCTTCTGGAAGTTCCCAGCTAAATCCTGATAGATCCTGGGGAGAAAGCCTTTGATGCCCTGACACTGTCACACACTGCTCATGACAATAGGGCAGGGCTGTCACTAGCTGGGTGAGGGAGTCCTCACCTCCAGCATAGAATTCAAGAGACTCTCAGTACTGAAGATTTTTTTTTTAAAGATTTATTTATTTGTGCATACAGAACTGGGGTACAGGCCAGAGGCAGCAAGAGACTTCACCAGAGACAGAGTGAGGAACAGAACTGGCAGACTGATGAAGTACACTGCTGAGGGGAGCAGCGGGCGGGTCAGGAGAGGTCTGCTGCGCCACGTGGTCACCTCCGGGGCAGACGGGGATCGAACTCATGCGGAAGTGGCTTTAGCTTCTTAGTGCTGTGCTTTAACCCGCTGCGCCACCAGGGAGGGCCTGAAGATTTTTGAATGTCATGTTGAAAAATAAAACACCGAACAATGAACAAAATATCAAAATTAGGATTACTGATTTTTCCTTTTATTCCGACCTCCTAAAGTACTCCTCCTGATGCTTTTTTATTTATATATTTTTATTTTGAAAATATTAGTTTCACGTCAACTGTTACAACCACGACCCCTGATTCCTAGTTTGGATCTTGGGCAGGTGGGGTAGGCGATGCGATGAAATATTTGGGATTCCTGGGGAAGGTGGAGTCAACCTTTGGTGGCTGCGCAGATGGGGCAGAGAGCGCATGCGCGGGAAGGAATTCCAGGTAGCCTAGGCTAAGATGGTAGCGCACGCGGGATACCGGGCGTGTTTCGCGCCTTTTTGGGGGTCCAAGCCAGTAAACGGGTCATAGGTCACGGTCACGAGACCCCCCCACACTGTGGGGCAGTTGGGGAGAGCGTTGCGGGGAGGCGACGGGCCTGCTCAGCCCTCGAGGCCTGAGAGGTGAGTGCTAAGGGCCCTGCTCCCTGAGGTGAGGTCCTCTGCCCCCACTGGAGCCCAGAAACCAACAGCGTACCCCCAACCCCGCCGCAACCCCAAAGAAGATGAACCCTGAAACTCCCCCTGGACATCTCTAGTCGGTTTATTGCGTTTTGCCGTTTGTTTCGGTTGGAGCTTAATGGCTAGGAAGGAGGTTCAGTCCACTTTGGTTCTAAGTATTAATTTGTAGAGTTGAGGTAAAATTCACCCTTGTAAAATATTAGCATTCTGTGCCTTTTCTTACACTCACAGTGTTTCTTACCGTCCCCACGTGTTCCAGAACATCTTTATCATCCCTGAAATCAGCCCCTGGCAGCCTCAGTATTCCCTGGGGTCTCCAGCCCCTGGCAGCCACTCATCTGCTCTCGGCTGCTCAGGGCTGGGGTGGGGTTGGGGGTGGGGTGCAGTGCTGGGCATCTCGTATCAGTAGAATCCTGTCACCTGTGGCCTGTGGTGTTCGGTGGTGTTCGCCTTTCACTTGGCATGACGTTTTCAAGCTTCATAACCTGCTCATCCCACTTTTGGATCAGCCACATTTTCTTAGCCCCTCGCTAGTTGATTGACTGTTGGATTGTCACCAAGTTTTAGCTGGTCAGAACAGCGCTATGGACACTGGTGTGCATGTTTTTGTCCAGACACCCATTTTTTCTGTTCCCTTGGGTATACACAGGGGGAGTAAATAGTAGGGTTTTAAGGTAAGGTATTTAACTTTTTTTTTTTAAGATTTATTTATTTATGCATACAGAACTGGGGTACAGGCCAGATGCGGAGGGTGATAGGGTTCACCAGAGACAGAGCGGGGAGCAAAACAGGCAGATCGACGAAGTACACTGCTGAGGGGAGCAGCGGGCGGGTCAGGAGAGGTCTGCCACGCCATGTGGGTCAGCTCCGGGGCAGGCGGGAATCGAACTCATGCGGAAGCGGCTTTAGCTTCTCAGTGCTGTGCTTTAACCCGCTGCGCCACCAGGGAGGGCCAGGTATTTAACTTTTTGAGGGACTGCCAGACTGTTTTCCATAATAACCGCACTGTTTTATATGCCCACCAGCAGTGTGTTAAGTGGTCCAGTCTTCTACAAATAAACTCCGTATTTGTGATTTAAAAATTATTTAATTGTATTTACTTTAGTTATAAATGGTATATCACTGTGGTTTTCATTTGCATTTCTCTGATGACTAATTAAGTTTTTGAGCATATTTTCAGGTGCTTTTTTTGCCACTGTAAAATTATATTTTGGAGAAATGTCTATATATTCTTTCACTATTTAATTGGGTTTGTGATTTTGTTGTTGATTTGTTAAGAATGCTTTATATATTCAGAATATGTAACCCTTGTCAGATATGTGATTGGAAATACTTTGTTCTTTGTCTTCTCACTTTCTGGATCATTGCTTATTGCTTATTGCTCAAAATATTTTTAATTTTCATGAAGCCCAATTTATATTCTCTTTTGGTGTCATATGTAAGAATAAATTGTTAAATCCAGGTTATGAGGGTTTCCTGCTGTTTTCTTCTAAGAATTTATTGTGACAGCTCTTCCATTTGACTCTTTGATCCCTTTTAATTAATTAATTTTGTGTATATTTTATTGATTAGATGGCAAGCATCTAGCTTTGCTCTTTTGTAATTGTTCAAGCACTACTTGCTAAACAGACTATTATTGCCTCATTAAATAAGCTTGATATTTTTGTTGAAAACCTGTTGACTGTAGATGTATGGGTTTATTTCTGGACTTTAAATTCTATTCCACTTGCTTATTCCAGTGACATTGTTTTGATTCCTGTCACCTTGTTGATAGTACTGAAATCAGGAAGTGTGAAGCCTCAAACTCTGTTCATTTCTATCTCTTTGATTATACTTTTAAATTTCAAATTTTGTTTCAAAACTGCTTATAATTACCCATTTCAGTATTTTAATAGTGGTGGTTTTAAAGTCTATTTCAAATAATCCCAACATCTATGCCTTTTCTTTTTTCTTTTGCAAGGGGAAATTTTTGTAGTTTCTTATATGCTGAATAATTTTCAATTCTATTCTGATAATTTGTGTATCAAGTTATGAGACTTAAGTCCTGTTTAAGATCTATGCATGTTGATACTTTTGTTTATCAGGTAATTGATCTGGGTATGTAGTTGCAGAACACCCAATTGAATTTGAATTTCATATAAAGTATACAAGAAGTTACAGTGTAAGTATGCACCAAGCAAAAAGGAAATTGGTTATTTATTGGAGATTTAAAATTAACTGGGTATCCTGTATTTTATCTGGCAACCCTACTTGGTTAGATTTAAACCATAAGTTCCAACTCACCTCAATGGGTTATAATTGAAATGTCAATTTAGATTTATTGCTCTGTTTATATTTCACATACATATGTGCTATTTTTTTTGGTATAGTCAGTCAACTCAGTTATCAGAGTGATTGTCATGCTAACCTGAGTGAAATCCACTTACACTCAAATCAGAGCTGAGCTCCTCTTATTCTCTGGTTCCCCAGTTCCTTCAGGTTTTCTGGGGCACGTTCCTGTTATTATCTTCTTCCAGAAATTGTCCACTCATTGTTTGCCTGCCACTGAGCGTTAAGAAATATTTAAATTGGTTCTGGTGATCTTCCTTGTTGGATACCCTGGTTACTTTTCCTGGAAAAAGTAACTTACAGGATGTAGCACCATTTAGTACTGATGCAACACACAGCACTTCCACCTCCCCCCTTGTATGTTCTGAAGTTCAGCTTTGATTTTGACAGCTCTGTGAAGCTGTTGAAAGTGGTGCACGAGAAAGGTAGCTCTCACACATGTTGCAATATGGATAAAACTGGGAGGCATTTAGTATTAAGCACCGTAAATGTGATTCATGCCAAGCTGACCACAAAAGGGCAAATAGTGTCATAAGTCAAGTGACTTAACTTACATGAGGTACTCTGTGTAGTCAATTCACACATAGAGAGAGTGGAATGCTAGCTGCCAGTGGCCGGGGGTGGGGTCCAGAAGGCACTAGGGAGTTACTCTTTAATGGGCATGGAGTTTTGTTTGAGGAAATGAAAAAAGTTTGTTTGAGGACATGGATTGTGGTGGTGATTGCACAGCTATATGAATATGATTGCTGCTTCTTAACTGTAACTTACAAATGGTGAAAAAGGAAAGCTTTATGTTATGTATATATCATATCACAATTTTAAAAATACTCACTGCCTTTCATCCACCAACTTCCAAAATAGTGTTTGATCCAGGGTGAAAAACTTATCAAATAATTAGTATAATCTTCCCAATGTTTGATTGAGAAGCAGTCATTGGTTTATTATTTTACCTGGCATTACACCATTTGTGAGGGAATTAGAATTCTAACTCAGCCTATCTTCAGATTCTGTTTTCTCCATTGCTATGACTTACTACCCACTGTGAGGAAAGAATCATGACTATTTTGAATTAGTCCTAGTGCTTAGCATAGAATGTGGCACAGAGCATGTATTAGATGCTAAGCAGTTGTGAGAGTTTCTCTCAGAGCCCATCAAAGTAACCACTGGCATCCTGCACTTAAAATTTACATCTTTCTTTGTGACTATGGGTCTGAACCTCATTCATCTGTTTCTCTCTGTTGCCTGTTGTTTTCATACATAGCAGGAGGTCATTAAATCTGAATTTAATGAATTAATATAAAAACAGGAGCAGGCATTTATTTCAAGTTACTTTTTTAGTGATCAGAGAAAAGATTAGTGCAGCAATTATTTGACCTTGGTAGATAACCTAAATTAAAAAAAATCTTTCCTTCCTTCTTAGGTTTGGAATCACATTCTTCATGATAAGATGGACTCATTGTTGTTCAGCCATTTCCGAGTGCTCCTCTGGAAGAATTTCCTATTAAAGGTAAGTGTGGCATATGTGGAAAATGGTTGTCAAGTCTAGTGAAAGGAAAAATTTATTAACTCCGTCATTTCATTTAGTTTATGATTTTGTTTCCCTTTTATTCCAGGACTGAGGGTAGTACTTCTAAATCTAAGCCATAGAACGAATAGCAAAATGTAGAAAAGGGTATATAAAAGACAGCCCAGAGCGCCATTCATCCACAGAAGGAAGCCGGATAATATAAGTTTGCGTTGTATACACATATCCACACCAGAGTGTAAATATACACACATATTTACTCAGACGTTAATTCACACAGTCCTTTTGTTTCTTCTGCAGAGGCGAAAGGTGGCTGATTTAATCCTAGATATCCTCATAGTATTATGGATGGCTTCACTGATGGTGCTTGAACGCAAATATATAAACACAGCAGCTAACAACAGTGTTCATTTCCAGCCTCTTCCCTTGAATAAACTGCCTACTTTCTTCAAGAATAATTATCCATTAGTCTATGTGCCTTCTGAAAGTGATGTGGCAAGAAGTATTACTGAGATGGTGAAAAAGGATTTAAATATCAATTTTCCAGGTTAGAAATTGTGTCTACAATGTGTTTTGTAGAGTAATTACTGACTTGTTCTAAAAGAGGCATGCTTCAGAAGAGGACTGTGACATTCACCTTCAAACACTTCATGAATTTTGTTAAAGACATTCTCCAATAAATAAAAACATCCTTAGATTAAAAACATTCTGTACAATTACTATACATTCAATAATTTTAAATTTGGTACTCTGTTATCCAGTATACAAGTCTAACTGCACTATGTTGCCAAACCGTAGTTGCTATTGTCATTTTTAATGCTCTTTCCCCAAAACCTTTATGCTATAACTATTTCATATATTATTCTAAAAGTTAACAATTTTCTGACCATTCATCCCTGTAATCAGAGTTTTGTCACTTTCTTGTCAACATTTCTTGTCAGGCAGATAAATTTCCTGGTTTTGTTTATCTGAGATAGCCTTTCTGTTTCACAGATTTTATTAATCCTTCATGCCCTGCTTCTGAGAGACATCTTTGCTAAAAAGAATATCTTGGCTGGCAATTTCTATCTTTCAGTACTTTGAATATGTTGTTCCCTCTGTCCTGGCCCATGGCATTTCTGCTGAGCCATTTGCAGAAAGCCTGAAAGGGAGCTCTTTATAGGTTACTTCTGTTTTTCTCTGACTACCTCTTAAGTTCTTTCTCATTGACTTTACAGCTTAATGTCTCTTGGAGAAGCTCTTTGCTTAAGATAATAAGGTGTTCCATTGGCTTTGTGGACTTGTATATTCAGTTCTTTTCCCGGGTTTACAGAGTTCTCAACTATTCTTTCTTTAAGTGAGCCCTTTGTTCATTTCTCCTTGTGGTTAATCTTATGTTGGCTCATTTAATGGAATCTGTACTTTCCATAGGGTTGGGTTGTTTTTTGTTTTTTGTTTTTTTACTTTTTAAAAATCTTAGTTCTTTCTCTTCCACCTGAATCATTTCTAAATTCCTATGCTTGAGTTTAATTATTCTGTCTCCCACCAGATTTGCTCTATTTCTGGTGCTTTGTCTACTCCACTTCTTAGTGCATTCTTTTCTGTTTGACTTCTTTTTTTGAATTTTCAATCTCTTTGGTAAAGTATTCTTTCTCTCCTTTAATTTTATTACTGAGATTGTATTTTTGAGTATTGCCTTTCTGAGTTTTCTTACAGCTTGCTCAATGTCTTCATAACTGTTTTGTATTCTTTATCAATTAGATTGCAATATTCTGTGTCTTTGAGTCCAGTTGCTAGAGAATTATCATTCTCTTTTTGCAGTACTATATTACCATGATTTTTAGAGTATAGATTTGATGAAAAGTGCCTATTGTGGCATTTGACATAGCACTTTTTTTTCTTTTTAATTAAATGATTTTTTTATTCGGATAGCATTAGCTTACAACTATGTTTTTGGCATACAGGCTTATACCTCTTCAAATGTATGTTGCCACACCCATCACTAAGGCACCAGCAATCTTCATCCGTCATCCCCCCACCCTCACCCCTCCTCATCCATTGTTCTCTCCCTCTGGTAGCTTCAGTCCCACAGTCAAATTTCTAGGATTTTTCTTTCTTTCTTTTTTTAAAAAGATTTATTTATTTTTGCATACAGAACTGGGGTACAGGCCAGAGGTACAGAGGCGGTGCGAGGCTTCACCAGAGACAGTGTGGGGGAGCAGAACAGGCAGATGGACGAAGCACAGAGTTGAGGGGGGCAGCAAGCGAGACAGGAAAAATCTCCTGTGCCATGCGGGCCACCTCCGGTGCTGGGGATCGAACTTGCACTGCAGCGGCTGCAGCTTGCTTGCAGTGCTGCATCCTAACCCGTTGTGCCACTGGGAGGGCCCTCTAGGGTTTGTCTGTTGTTGGGTTGTCTTGTTCCTTTCCTTTTCTTAATATTCCACATATAACTGAAATCCTCTTCCTAGCTTATTTTGCTTAGCATCATTCCCTCCAGTTACACCCAGATTATCATAAGTGGCAAGATTTGGTTAATAGCTTAGAAAAATGCCATTGTGTATATATACCACAACTTCTTAATCCACCCATATGGCATTGACATTTAGGTTGTTGTCATCACTTGGCTGTGTGTGAATAGTGCTCAGTGAACACAAGGGTAGATATATTTCTTCACGTTTTTGTCTTTTCATTCTTTGGATAGGTAACTAGGAGAAGAACTGCTGGATCATATGATAGTTCTGTTTTTAATATTCTCAGGAACAACTGTTCCAGATGACAATTAGGCAAAGAATTTGCTAGCCAAAGTAAGGATTTGAACTTGAGGCACAGTCCAGCAGAATAAGCAGTTTGAATCGAGTTTCTATCAGTAGAAATAGTGAGCCACTGACATTCAGAGTATATTCTTGATAGAGGGTCCTTCTAATTCTTTTTTTTTTAAGATTTTATTTATTTATGCATACAGAACTGGGATATAGACCAGAGGAGCAGGGGCCGTGAGACAGTTCACCATAGACAGAGTGAGGAGCAGAACAGACTGGTGGATGAAGTACACTGCTGAGGGGAGCAGCGGGCGGCTCAGGAGAAGTCTGCTGCGCCATGTGGGTCACCTCCAGGGTGGGGGATCACACTCTCACTGAAGCAGCCACAGCCACTTTCGCAGTGCTGTGCTCCAACCCTCCGCACCACCAGGGAGGGCCCAGGTCCTTCTAATTCTTAGTTACTCTGACCTAAAGATATGTTGGTCCTAGAGGAAGACAGTGTGAGGAGTGAATCTTCTCCCTTACTGATGAATGCACTGCAGAGATGCTAAGGCAGGGTACCCGTTGTTAATTTTTTTTTAAAGATTTACTTATTTATTCATACAGAACTGGGGTACAGGCCTGAGATGCGGAGGGTGAGGATTCACCAGAGACAGAGTGGGGAGCAGAACAAGCAGATCTATGAAGTACAGTGCTGAGGGGAGCAGCGGGAGGGTCAGGAGAGGTCTGCCGCGCCATGCGGTCACCTCTGGGGCAGGCGGGGATCAAACTCATGCGAAGTGGCTTAAGCTTCTTAGTGCAGTGTTTTAACCCACTGTGCCACCAGGGAGGGCCCAATTTTTTTTTTTTTTTTAATCTGAAAAGATTAACTTCGACCCGCAGGTAGCAGATCCCTACTCTCAGGATGGTGCCTTTGCTCTCTTGTCTCCTAGGCCAGCAGCAGGAACCACACAAAATTTTACTAAATGTTTACACCTTTATACTGTTTTCTTTGGGGCCTGGACCTGTCTACATTCCCACCAGTAATGTTCCAGGGTTTCTTTTCTCCACGCCTAGGATGTAGCCATTCTGAGGTGGTGGTATTCTAACAGTTCAACAGGTTGATATTAGGAGTCTTTCTTTTGTCTTCCAGGAGGTGGTGCCATAGCACAAGTTTTTGTTTTTTCTTGGCGGCTGTTTTCTGCGAACACTGGGAGCATGCACATGAAAACAAACAAACAAACAAACAAAAAACAAAAAACGGTGGAAAGAAATACTAGGGCGTGTGGAAGCTTGAGAGGTGTATGCTTAACACTGGAGTCTTTGGGTACGCCCCCAGCTCAACTGGAGGACCCTTGAATGGGAGGCCCCACCGCTGTGTGAGCAGTTTCCAGCCAGATTCCCCATGTGGAAACTGATGTTTCCTTTCTTCCATTCTTTCTCTTCCTCTAGTTACTGAGTGTCAGGTCCCTATGATTAGCACACGCAGCCTGGCAGCCCCTCAACTCCCCACCTTCACCCTTCATTTCTTCTGCCAGGAAGGTTTAGCTGGTCCACTCCTAACTCCCCTGGCCCTACGCCAGCCTCTGCCCATGCCCTGGGCTTTGCAGCCTCCTAGCGGTGCAGGTCAACAAGTAATGGTGTACAGATGTTAGAACTTTCCGGAGGCCTGGTGCACTGAGCAGAGGGCCGCACTGGTTTGGTTGGGGAGGTCTAACCAGTTGTAAACAAAAGAGGAAAATGAAAAGGAAGGACTGTCAATGCTAGGAAGCCGCCATCAATCCCACGTTCCTATTAGTTTGAAGCAAAGGGAGTTTGTCTTAGCCCATGCTAGCATGTGTTTAGAACTAGGGGATCCCCTGCCTTTGTCTCTTCAGGTTGCAAATATGAAGTAACTGGTCCACTGGACTTAGTCAGACAGGGATAGAATGAATTATTTTTAGGCATAAGTCATAATATGCCTGTCAATAAAGCAAAAGAATTTTAATGACAGCTTTTCATTTAATGAAGAAAAATACTGATTTAAGTTTCAAGCTTTCAGCCATTTTGATGTGTGTGCAGTGAAATCCTTGGCATTTTAAGTTGCATTTTTCAGATTCCTCATCTCATTGGACCATTTTCATTTCTTCATGGACCATTTGGATATCCTTTTTTGTATGTGTGAGACAAGCCTGTTCAAGTATCTTGTCCATTTTTTTGTCAGACTGGCTATTTTTTCTTACTGACTTGTAGGGGTTGTGTCTGTATTTACATGCTAGCTATAGGGTATTGCAGGTCAGCTTTGTCAGCCCCGCATCCTGCCTTTTCATTCTTACAGGGATTTCTGAAGAACAGCGGTTTTTAATATTAATAAAGCCTCATTCTTCACTCTCTCCATTTGTTTGTTTTTTTTTTCACCTTATTCTGTCTAAAAAAACTTTCCCTAACACCAGAATCATAAATATGTTCTTTTTGGTTGTAGTTTATGGATGTCTTTGTTTGGAGTTTCAGATGCATAACTATGGTCCACCAGGAATTGGACAGGTTTCATTTATGCCTACGTGGATATTCAATTTCTTACTGTTTCTAGAAAAGACCACTCATTTCCTGCTAATCTGTTTTACCACTTTTTAAAAAGATTTATTTATTTATGATTACAAGAGCTGGGGTGTAGGCCAAAGGTGATGGGAGAGGGAGTGAGAGGATTCACCAGAGACAAGTGGGAGCACAACAGGTGGATCTGTCCCCAGATACACTGCCAAGGGGAACAGCGGGGAGACAGGAGAGGTCTGCTGCACCCTGTGGGTCAGCTCCCTGGCTGGGGATTGAACTGATGCTGTAGTGGCTGTGGAGAGCTTCATAGTGCTGAGACTTACCCCTTGTGCCACTTAACCCCTTATTGCCACTTTGATTATAAATCAACTATCCACAATAATGTTTAAGTCCTCAGTTATATTCCATTGTCCTATTTGTGTATCCTTGTGTCATTTTGATGTTGTTTTAATTACTGTGATTTTGTTATGTTCTGGTAGCCTATAAAGGACGTCTTCACCCATTGTTTTTCAACCATTATATTTTTTTATAAATTTTGGAATTGATATATAAATTATTAAAATAATTCTGTTTGGATTTTTATTAGAATTTCATTGACTGTCAATTTTTATAGAAGAGATATCTTTACTATATGCATATTTTAACATCCTTGAACATCGGATTTATAGTTATATCACTCGATTTTTAAAAATCTTATTTATTTCTCCCAATAATTATTTCTTTCCTTATATAGAGGCTGTCAAAAAATTGAATGTCCATTTACATTAGAAATATTTTAATTCTAAGAAGAATGTGCCTGTATGTTTGTGGTTTTGTGTTCATGTATTTACAAATTTCATGAGAAAAATAATTGTCAATGTAAAGTTATTTTATTCTACATTTATTTTCAGAATTAATTTTGTCACTTTGATTTCCCTTAAGATTATTTTTTTCAATCAGTAGATTTCAATAATAGTTTCCTCTATTCTGGTTTACCTAAATATACAGTTATTGTAATGAATAAATATTCATAATGTGCTGTAACTTGTATCATACATGAAAAGTTTTGTGTTTCCCAGACATCCACTAGGCCATCTGGGATGTCAGTGCTTGAGTTACAATGTTCTAAAATTTATAGTATTAAGCCAGGATTATGGCATTTGTGGCAGAGATCAGAATAATCACTAGTCATTTTCTATTTATGTGGGGTCTTACTTAAATTTTCCTCTCTACAGTTCAAGGCTTTTCCTCAGAACTAGATTTTGAGAATTACATCAAGTTTCAGAATAAAACTGCTCCTGTGCTGGCCGCTATTGTATTTGACCATGATTTCAAAAACAGCCAAGATAATTTACCACTTAAGGTGAGAATGGTTTATCCACATACCATCTACTGTCAGATTTAGGGGTTTACTGAGTTATAGGGAATGTCCTCATCATATAAAAGGGAGAATTACAATCTGCCCAGGTTCATAACTGCTGGTGTATAACAAAGCAGGGATTTAAATGCAGCTCCGACTTTTTAAATACCTACACTTTTAGGTACTGCATTAGACTGATGAGAAGATGACCATGTCTGCTGCTGGATATTTCGAACATGAAGCAGTAAGAACTTCCATGAGGGCATTCACTTTGCCAGTCTACCTGGTCAGAGAGTGCTCCTTGTCCTGCAGATGGTGGTTAAGAAAATAGAATATAACAAAGTCAAAAGGCTGGGTAGTGCTATCTGTGACCTACTCAAATACTTTCTTGGCTTGGGTCTCCAGATCAATTGTTATCTTTTCACTTAATACTTAAGGTAGGTAACATTCCACATTTAAATTTTACCATCCCTTCTGTTCCTGTGTTTGGAATTTTTTTTTTCTTACGTGTCATTCACTTTCTTAGAGGAAGATATTTTTATTCTGCTATAATTGATGAACATAATGGGACAAGAAACTAATAGAACTTTCTGATGTTTTATTCAGTAAGCAGCCAATGGTGGGTATATAAAAATAATTCATAATGATCAAGATATCACCACTACTGTGCCTTTGAAAACAAGAAGCAAAATGCCATGAATAGAAAAGAGGACAGATATAAATGTAGTTGATTTCAAATTTCAACTGTGATTACATCATTGAGACTCATTATCTGTCCCCTGTAAGGACGGTGCTGTCGTTTCTCATCATTTAGAATCCTGGATAGTTCACTCTGTATTCAAAACATAATTTTTAGCTTTCTGTTTTATTTTTATATCACTGTGAATATTTGCTTTTTTATTGTTCATTGCTTTGGAATGTTTATTTTCTATTATTGTTCATTCTAGGTAAAATATCATCTGCGTTTTGGTAGTATCGTTCAAGCGGGTTTTCATTCAGTTAGGCCGTTTGCCCCTCAATCAAAAATTGTGTGGAATACAGATCTTCTCTTTCCAGTAATTCCTACTGTAGGACCCAGGAACCCGGACAATGCAGATGGAGGAGATCCTGGTGAGTGAATTGTTAAACACACTTATATTATTATATGATTGCAAGCTAGCAGTCACATGAACATATATGAATCATTTTATTCTCAACATGTGAGATAGCTATATAGTCATTAATTGTGGCAGTAAGTACCTTACATTTAGTTTTTATTGTGAAAACAAGCATACAGAAAACTCTGTCCATAATTCATGTGACATTAGATCATCTCCTGAACTTTATCATTTCATATCCATTAATTGATATAGTCTTAGTCTGGAAGTGTTGGCTCTGCTGATTTAATAGACAAAACAGTCAACCAATAGACAGCTGATAAGGGACTGATATCAAAGAACTTACACAACTCAACAAAAACAAAACAACCCAGTCCAAAAAAATGGGCAGAATAGCTAAAAATACACTTCTCCAAAGAACACATGAAAATGGTTGAGAATTATATGAAAAAATGTTCACATCACTTTATCAGGACATAGCAAATCAAAATCACAATGAGCTATCATCCCACACACCAGTAAGAATGACCAGTATTTTAAAAAATACTGGAAACAATTGATGATGAGAATGTAGAGGAAAAGGAGCCCTCTTCCACTGCTGTAGGAATGCAGACTGGAACCACTATGGTGGTACCTCAAAACACTGAAAATGCGTCTAGCATATGGACCCAGTGATTCTACTCCTAGAAATTTACCCAAAGGACACAAAAACACTAATTTGAAAGGAAACCTGCACTCCTGTCTTTATTGTAGCACTAAATTATTCACAGTAACTAAGATATGAAAACAACCTAACTGCCCCCAGATGAATGGATTGAGAAGATGTGGTCTGTGTACACGATGGAATACTACTCAGCAATCAAAAAAGAGAAACTCTTGCCTTTTACAGCAACATGAACGGAGCTGGAAGGGGTTATGCTCAGCAAAATAAGTCAGAAGGAAAAAGAGAAATATCAGGTGGTGTCAGTTATAGGTGGAATATAGGAAAACTGAGCAAAAAGTCAGGAAGAAATTGCTGACAAAAACTTCAAACTGACCACAGATCTGAGGGGAGAGGGAGGAAGAGCAGTCAAAATAGGGGAGGGGAGAGCCCGAGAGACTATGGTGATTGTTCACAGATGCTGTGATGATGGGTGGGAGTACTGTGGTGATTAGCCCTGAGGGGAGAAATCAAGTATTGTACAAAATGAACAATGAAAGAAAACACATTTATTTTGAAAAAATAAAAAAAAATCCATATTTGTCTTTATGCCAGTAGGATACTCTTCTGATTACTGTAAATTTGTATAATTAGTTTTGAAATCAGGAAATTGAGACCTGCAGTTCCCAAGATTGTGGTGGCTCTTTGTGACCTTTTGTAATTCCAAACGGATTTTATGATCGTTTTTCTATTCTGCAAAATAAGCCTTTGGGATTTGGTACAGATTGCATTGATCTATAGATCACTTTGGATGGTATGGACAATTAAACAATATTAACTCTCCCAATCCATGAACATGAAATGTTTTTCCATTTATTTGTGTCTTCTTTAATTCTTTCAAAAATGTAGTTTTCAGTACATGACACTCACTTTCTTGTTTAAGTTTATTCCTATGTATTCTTTTTGATGGTATTATAAATGGGATGGTATTACATCTTATTTGTTGTTCACTTGTATGTTTGGTATGTTGAAGTTGGAAGGGTATTTTCTTGAACTCTTACTTGTACTTTGGCTGATAAAATTACATAAACTATACCAATTTCGAGTAGTCTTTCAGGTTTGGGAGGATAATAATACAGCTCTGTTACATATTATCCATTTCTCAGGTCACTTCAGGGTTTGTGAAATTATTTTATTTTGTGAGTTAAAAGTTTTGGATGGCCTGAATTGCCACCTTCGTTTGCCTGGCTGTTTCTCAGTATACTGAATTTATCAATCTTTATTTTCTCATTTAGGTTACATCAGAGAAGGGTTCCTGGCAGTACAGCATTCCCTAGATAAGGCCATCATGGAATACCATAACAAAGCTGCGAAGACAGCATTTGATGATGTCAGCATTGCTGCTAGGAGATTTCCATACCCTCCCTACATTTCTGATAATTTTTTTGCAGCTTTAATACATCTGTTACCTTTGGTAATTTTAATTGTGTTTGTTCTAATCTTATTTGCCCTCCTCAAGACCGTTGTGATGGAAAAAGAAACCAGATTAAAGGTAACTTCACATTCTTCAGAGCATTTGGGCCTGTGGAACAGATGTGGGTACAGCGTTGGGCTACTTCTGTAGTTTGGCCAGATAGTTGGTTATCTTGCAAGCAATATAGAAGTATAACCAGGTGGAATGTTCACTATGCCTTTTGTTGATTTTCTAATGTTTTGCTTTTATCTGAATTCTTGTTTTCACTTTTAGTTTTATTGACTAAGAGATCATGTTAGATACTTTGAATCTTTGTAATAAAAACAAGCAACAAAAGTAATCATAGGAGCTTTTCTAAAAAAAATTTTTTTAAGATTTATTTATTTATACAAGAACTGGGGTACAGGCTGTGTGAGGAGTGAGGAGATTCACCAGAGACAGAGTGGGGAGCAGGACAGATAGATGGACTGAAATACACTGCTGAGGGGAGCAGCGGGGAGACAGGAGAGGTCTGCTGTGCCATATGGATCACCTCCTGGGTGGGGATAGAACTTGCACTGAGTGGCCACGGCTTGGCTTAACTTCACAGTATAGCATTCCAACCTGCTGCGCCATCAGAGAGCCCCTCATATAACCTTTTAAGTGATTTTTATTTAAGATACACTGCAATTCCAAGATTTGAGTTTCTTTTCTATATTAAGTCAAATCAAGACCACATTGTAAGAATAGGGATTCTACAATCACAAAGTCCCTGATGCATCCATCTATTGATTAATTTGTTCGTATTTATTTATCATACCTACTTTGTTCCAGAAACTTAGGTAGATTTTGGGTTCAAATCTTGGATTCACCAGTAATTAACACTGTGCTCATAACCTGTTTCCTCAAATGAACTTGTAGCTAATAATACCTAATTTCTAGGGCTACTACAGGGATTAAATGAGAATGTTGTTTTTAAAACTATCTAAGTCAGTCTCTGACCTAGTCTAAACAGATTGTAATTAAGAAGATAATTTTCACTCACAAATTTGCTATTTAGTTGAGGAGATATTTGTAAATAGAGTTATTTGTGTAACATGGTAAGGACCGAAGGTTATAGAATTTTTTTTTCCTGTATTGTGGGAAAAGTTGATGCAATGGTCTGGGCAATGATGTGTGATAGATAATAGAGGTTCATCAGGTAAATAACATTAGAGGATGGGATCTGGAACTATGAAATATTCCTATCAGTGCTGTCTTTAGAAGAATGACCTTGGAACAGATGTGGAGGAGAGGTGTAGACTGGGATTTGGCAGATGGTTTAGAGGAAGCACAAAATCGCAAATATTTTAGTCTTTGATCCACTTGCATCTCTGCTTCATACTCATTATAGCCATTCAGGAATGCAAAAACCATTCTTTGCTCTTGGGTACACACAGATAGCCCAGAAGCCATACCACAATTACCAACTCTTGACAGTGAAGGAAAGACTGAGGGTGAGGGACCAATTACGAGTTAATTATAACAGAAGAAAAACAAGGAAAGTCCAGGTTAAAATGGTTTAGCATATAGGAATGGAGGAAAGGGTTTAAGAAATACTTGGATAGAATAAATCAGTGGAATTGGATATGTGCATAAAGAATTTTAAATTCTGAAATTTTGCACATACTTCTTTCTGTGGCTTTCTTTTCCATTAATCAGATTATTCTTGCAGTAAATTGGAGTGAGGAAATACGCTGTTTTTCCTGAAAAGACGGTGATGCTTAGGTTGAATGAAGACACAAGGGGATTAAAAGAAAAAAAATGTTTGTCTTGGCAAAATGAGCATTTTAAAAGATAGCTACCTTTCCCAGACTTTATAAATTGGTTTTGTTGGGGGGAAAGTTCTTTATCTGTGAGTAATTTGAGGTCATCAGCTAGAAATATGTAATGATTTGGCTTGTGGGATACAGTGTCATCACCATTTCCACGGTGACACGGTCGCATGGGCCCTGCACAGCTTTATCAGCTGAGGTCAGCCTGTGGCAGAGATTGTTGGGGTCCTGTGTGGATGTCTATGGTGAGAGTGAGCGCTCTCACGGATATAAGAAGCTGCATGATGAAAGTGAAGTACAGTAGATGAGTATTACTTTTGAAATGTTCTCCCCAGAAGAATGACATCCACAAGATCACAGACTAGGGAGGCGCAACCCTGACACAGCTGCAAACAATGATCTTAATAACGTGCCCACGAGTGCTAGAACCTCAGTGAGCACTGCCAAGTCCTTGGCAGTAGTAGCTGATTTAGTCCTCCTCACTTTTTCTCTCATGGGCCAAAGTCATGGCGAACATGATCCCTCCTGTTGCTGAATTATGTTGGGCTAGAGAATACAATGTGACAGGTAAAATATTTCCCACGCTTTTATGTGGTGTTTGCCCTTTATTGGGTAACTGCAGCTCCTTCACTTTACTCCAGAGTTCTCCCACCAGTTCTTACTGGTGGGTACGTTGTTAAGATCATTGTGCTTGTGGCTGTTTCAGTTTTAAGATTTCCTAGTCTGTGATCTTGTGGATGACATTCTTTTGGGAGAATGTTTTAAAATAATTTTCTTCATTTATTGCATTTCACTTCCATGCAGCTTCTTGTATCTGTGAGTTTGTTCTTGTTTAAACCTTTGAAAACTTTAGACTTTTGTATTTCTACATATTCTGTCTTCCTCCCTGCCTGCAGGCACTCTAGTTAGACCTGCCTCAGGCATCTGTTCCACAGCTCGCTGATGCTTCATACATTTTCCCCCTACTCTTTGTATTTCATTTTGGACCATCTATATTACTACCTCTTCAAATTCCCAAATCTTTTCTGCAATATCTGACCTACTATTAATCTAATACGACTTACTGTTCCTCTAAAGTACTTCTATGTCCCCATGTCTCTACTTAATCTGTTCCATTTTCCTCTAGTTTACAGAACTGCTGGTATAGAATTATATGTTTTAATGTCCTTGTCTCCTTGCACATTTGTGTTAATTTTGATTGAATGATTTCCTCTTCATCATGAGTCATATTTTTCTTTGTACTCTTCATATATCCAGTGGTGTGCACCAACATTAGTACAATTTATCCTCTCACACTGTCTGCATGTTGGATTTTGGCAAAGCTTAGCTGGATTTTCTGTTAAGAATGCAATCAAGATGCCATCCAGCGATATGGTCTCACTTGAGTCTCAGCCAGGTGAAGAATTGCTTCTGATCAGATGTAATTGTTGACCACACACATACAAACATACATATTTTTTTTTTATTTGTAGCTGCAGGGTAAATCCAGTCCTGTTGTCTCTTTGGGGCCAGTAGAAGTAGCCTTCTACTTCTCTTGCTTTTTGTCTGTTAAATAAATAATGCATGTTTAAAAATAAAGCAGGCATGAAAACTATGCCTGTTTTTCATAAATCCCAGGGTCACTCACCCAAATATCAAACAGCTTATTAGAGCTATCTCTTCCTGAAGATAGAACTTCATAAAGACAGTCTTACTTTTTATGTTTTTAAAAATTTTCATTCAAGCATTTCTCACATTAGAGCTCTAACTAGTAAGTTATTGGGGAAAGATGTCCAGACTTAGAATTCTAATTTGAAAGTACAGCACTGGTCACTCATTAAGTGGATGGTACTGATTAGGTCATTTGACTATTCTAAGACTTGATTTCTTTGTAAAATGAGGTACTTCACCTATGTAGGTCTTGGTGGGAATTAAATCAGAAAATATTTGTGAATCCATCTGGAAAACTGCAGATTATTGTTCATGTATGTGCTTTGTGTTCACTCTCCTCCAGGAGTACCAGCTCATGATCGGGCTCAGTAACGCCATGCTCTGGAGCGCCTATTTCATCACTTTCTTGTTGATGTCTTTAATTATCATCTTTTTACTGTGTTTGATTTTCTTTTACAAGGCAAGTATCTTTTCATACAGCGCAGGCCGAGTGGGGTTTTAGGTGCAGTAGAGCAAGTGTATTTTTCATTGATTCCATTTGGAAATTCACACACTACTTAAGTCTATAAGCAAAAAAACAATAGACTTAGACAGATAGCCCACCTGTAAGAAATAAGCTACCTACTTAACTTTCCACCTCACTGAACTGTATCACCTGTTCCACTGGGGTTACTCAAGTATTTAAGGATTTTTTTCTTCACAGCTTTTGTTATTCTCTGACACCACTTCCAATGTGACTAAACTGGCTTCCCCTTTGTTTTGTTAGTTCACGCATGAGAAAATCCTCCAAAACAGTGATATTTCTTTCATCATTGTCTTTTTGCTGTGTTATGTCATTGCCTTGATAAACTTCGGTTTTCTGATGTCCACTTTCTTCAATAAAAGTGAGTCGCAGACTCTTGCCATATAAGATTCTTGATGTTTCAGTTGACTAAAAGGGGATTTTGGAATTCTTTTATAGCGAGATAAGGGAATCTCTAGTACAAGATTTTGTAGGATGTATGAACTGACTCTAGATTCTTTCTCACTACTCAGCTTCATTTGCTATTGCTGTTGGAGGTTTCTTGCATTTTCTCATCTACATGCCATATGTAATCTCCCACAACATGTATGCACACTTGACCTTAAGGGACAAGCTGTTTTTATGTCTTAGTATAAATGTGGCATTATCATTTGGTGCTGATCAAATATGCAAGTTGGAAATAAAGGGTAAGTTTCTTTTCTTTGTAAAATTGACTTTGCTGATTTGATTCACAGGAAAAAGGCAGATGATCTGGGTGTTCACAATGGAGGGGGTAGGAGAGTGGGTGAGGGGTGATTTTAGTATTTTTAAATGTTTTCCCTGGTTGGTAGAATTTATCATATGAAATAATATCTTCATGTTGTATGTGTGTGCACTGTATGTATACTCACATGTACATGCAAATAAATATAGGCAAATATGTATTTATGTCTTCCTGTTGGTGGTTTCATCTGGGGGCAGTTTTGTCAATAGGGGATAATGGCAGTGCCTAGAGCTGCTTTTGATTGGGGTCTAAATGCTACTATTATGTAGGGATGCTATCAAATATCCTAAATAAAAGTACAGATAGCCCTAAAATATAGAATTATCCAGTTCCAAATGTCAGCAGTGCCAAGGCAAAAGCACCCTAATTAATATCCAGATAATAATCTTTGTTACCTTTAATATCAGAAGTTCTTCCTAGATTTCTCCCATTCTATATATTTATTTCCCTTTCCAATCACGAGAAACCTAGCATTCCCTGTTACCAATATAATTATTCATTTGCCTAATTTATAATACTTAGAGCATAGTTACAGGACTGCTAGTCCATACCACTCACTATAAACAGAAAATATATTAAATTTGGTAATTGTAATTCTTTTTACATATAGTCTGAGGCCATATAGTCAAATACTGTGTTCAGAAATCTCTTGAATTGCTATCAATGTAGTGGTGTCATTCATTTGAAATATGGATCGTCTATTTGTCTCTGCTTATATCTCATCTTTGATGATTTAATATAAATTCATGTGTATGTAAAACATTAACACAGTTTTTAAAGTGAGAGCTATAGAAAAGTTGTATTAGGTAAGAATCTCTCTTTTCCCATACCAGTACATCCTATCTCTATAGGTAATGCCTTAATATTTCTGTTTTAGCTTTTTGTTGAATTTCCTAAAAGTTGGAATTTTTCTATATTTTCTTATTTCCTTTACTTTCTTATGAAAATCTTAGAGTAGTGCATGTTCCTTTACAATGTACTTCTCCCCCCTCCCCCATCTACGGGCATATCCTAGAAATTATTCTCTGTGAGCTACAGATATCTTCATTATTTTTTAGAGTAGTGACTCTCAAAATGGATTAAAAACCTGTATGTAAGACTTAAAACCATAAACCACATAGAAGAAAACATAGGTAAAATATTCCATGACATTGGCTTCACAGATGTCTTTGGAGACTGGACTTTAGCATCAAGGAAAGCAACAGCAAAAATGAACATATAGGACCACATCAAGCTAAAAAGCTTCTGCATAGTGAAAGAAACTATTAAAATAGAAAGACACCCCACTGAATTGGAAAAAATCTCACCCTACATCTGACAAGAATGTACGATCTACAAAGAACTCATGCAACTCAATAAGAGAACAAATAAATCAAAGACAATAAGCAGACATCTAAGTAGACACTTTTCCAAAGAATACATCCAGATGGCTGGTAATGTTCATCATTTAGCATCAAGGAAATGAAAATCAAAAGCACAGTGAGACACATATGATACCTGAAAATGGCCATATATAAAAGACCCCCATCTCCAAAGAAAAACAGTTTTTTGTAAGGGTGGTGTGGAGAAAGGAACTCTGATGGAATGAAGGTGAAAGTGGTTAGACTGGTTCAACCACTAGTGAAAACAGTATGGAGATTTCCCAAAACATTGAAAACATATCTTCCATACAATTCAGCAATTCCACTCCTGTATGCATACTCAAAGAGTGCAAAACACTAGTTTGAATATATACAACCCTTTGTTCAGAGAGACACCTTTTACAATAACCAATTATGGAAACAACCAAAGTACCCAGCAACAGAGGAGTGGATTAAGAAGATAGAGTATCTATACTATGAGATGATGTATAAATGTAGTAGGGATAGAACACTGCTCAGCTCTAAAAATAGAAATTCTTGCCATTTGGAACAACATGGATGAAGGTGGAGGGATTATGTTAACCAAAATAAGCCGGAAGGAGAAAGACAAATGCAGGATGGTTTTACTCATATGTGCAATATAGAGAAAAACAGAGGGTCAGACAAAAATTAGTAAAAACAAGCCCTAGAGATCCAACTCTTAAAATCAATGACACTAGAAAGGAAGTAGGAAGGAGGAGAGCAAAGATGGAAGGGTATCTGTTGGACTGTGGTGGAGGACTGTGGGAGTCTTGGGTGGGTGTGATGTGGTAACATACATGTGGGGATGTGTGAGCCTATAATTCTGAAACATACAAATGTTGTAAACCTATGTTACATCAAAAAAAAACACATTAACAATCTACAACTAATATCATACTCAGTGTTGAAGAAGTGAAGTTGTTTCCTCTAAGATCAGGAATAAGACACTGCAGGACAGATGTTGAACTACAAAGTTCAACGTGGTATTGAAGGGCCTACCAAGAGCAACCAGGCAAGAAAAAGACACAAAAAAGAATCAAACTGCTTTAAAAAAAAAGAATCAAACTGAAAAAGAAGAAGCAAACCGGGCACTATTTGCAAATCACATTGTAATATGCTCAGAAAATCCAAAAGGCACCCCCAAAATGCTACTAGAAATAATAAATGAGTACAGCGAAGTGACAGGATACAACAATTAATATTTAAAAATGTGTTTCTGCATGCAAACAATGAATTAAAAGAAATTAAGAAAGTCATTTAGAATTGCATCCCCCCAAAAATAGTTGTAGGCAGAAGCACCTTACATCATTACTTATGTATCTTCTCAGATAACTCAAATTTTAATGTAGCTAATATATCTGCCTCCAGAGAGTACCATACTTTTTTTTTTTTTAACTTCATTGGTTAAGTTTGCAGCAGCTGGATTAATATTGTTCTTGTTGCCTGAAGTAACTGTCTCCTATTGTGTTTCAGAATATGGTGCCAGGTGGAATAACTTCTTTTCACCAGTGAGCCCAGATGATAGCCTCACTCTTGGCCATATTATGGGGATGCTTTTATTAGATGCTTTATTGTGTGCCCTTATGACCTGGTACATAGATGCTGTCTTTCCAGGGAAGTATGGTGTGCCCAAGCCATGGTATTTCTTTATGCAGGTAAGTCTCATGCTTTTGTTATGAAAAGAAACCCCAATTCTTGGGCACTTGGTTTGTTGAAAATGGACACCATTACCAAAAGTTATATTTTAATTGAATTTATTTAGTATATATTTTACATTATTGTTCATTTTTAAACAATGTTTATTTTCCCCCCTCAGGTGTAGTCCCCATAGGATTTCCTCCCCTAACTCACCTGTGCACCATCACCACAGTCCTTTGTGTTCCTCTCTCCCTCCTTCCGGCCTCTTTCTCTCTCCCTCTACTGCGGATGTCTCTGATCTTTACCTAAACTTAACACACATCCTGTGTTGCTCCATTTATGGCACCACTATAGTTTTTACTCCTTCGCAACTAAAGCCATCAAAAGTTCACTTTGTAATGTGTAAAACAGAAACAAGTGACACACCAGGCAATAAACATCTTCATCTGTATGAGTCTATGGGTGAGGTGCTTACACCTTAGGACCCTAGTGAGGACTACAGTTAGACTCCATGACTTGTTGAACACTATCTGTCTTTTTCCTACTACTATTAGCTCAAATTACTTAAAATCAAAACCATAGCAAAGTTGAGCACATCTTTAACTTAGCCTCTATTTCAGTCTTCTCCCTTATTCAGTGGTTCAAAGAAAGTAGTTCCCAAACTCTTTGGTCTCAGAAATCCTTCATATTCCGTTATACAATGAATTATTGAACAACCCCAAAACTTTGTTACTAGGTAACCAACGAAATTAAGAAATTAAAACCAAGAAATATAAAAGAGATTTTATCTACTATTTAAAACATTGCCAGTTGAACAATTACATGTTGAAACATTTTGGTTAAAAAAATGACTTAATTACTTTTTTTTTTTTACATTTTTCCAAGTACATTTTATATTTGCTTAGTAGAAGGTAACTGGATTCCCATTAGATTGTTTTCTTGTTCTGGATTCAGTCTGCTGTATTATGTTGTTTTGCTTAAAGTAATGAAGAAAATACAGTTTCACATAGACATGCAGTTGAAAAAAGTTTTTGGTACGTTTTAAACAAAGTTGGTACTTAAACAGAATTCAACTGTTGACAATTTACTAACAGTTGAAGTTTGAAATTTGAAAGTATTAATGACCATTGTATAACTATAACAACTTTTTCATCCATGCATCTGTTTGGGGACTTTGGCTTGTTTCCATGTGCTGGCTATTGTAAATAGTGCTTCTGAACTATTGAGAATAATTTGGAACCCACACACACTGTCTAGTTCCTAAGAATCTCCAGGGATCTGGACGCCACATGTCCAGAGATCTGGTTGAGGTGAAATTGTGCTTTGTACTGGGCCTTTCAGTACTTCTGTTTTGTCTTTCTTCTGATACTTTGAGTAGCATGTTTTATGGATACTTTTTAGGAATTCATATGATAGGAAATTTGCTTCCTAATTTCCAGTGATCTTCTGCCACCCATCTCAGAGTGAAACAAGCCAAGTGTTTTCAAGTCTTTAGAGCACTTTTTCAGTGACATCATTCTGATATTTTTGTTCTTACCTTAGAGGTCTTACTGGCTTGGGGAGTCTTCAACCAATCCAGAACAAGCAATTGAGAATGTTTATTCTGCCGCTGGAAATGAGTATTTTGAAAGTGAACCTACTCACCTGGTGGTGGGCATCAGTATTCAGCATTTGTATAAGGTACTGTCTCCCAAGCTTCTTTCTCCAGATGCACTGAGAGCTAATTTACTTTGTATAGTGAATACTTGTGACTTGTCACCACTCTACCCCCCCGCAGCATGTTAGTAAAAGGTTGTAGTCAACATGCATTTTTATTATTTGGCAAGATGATGAAACATATACAAATAAAATAAAAATACCATTTCGGGACAGGATTCAGCTTTGTGCAGGTGGTCGCAGTGTCTTCTATAGTATTTTAATGATTTGGGTGTTAAATCTAAATAATTGCCCAGATCACTGGCAAGAGACTTTATGGTCTCAAGTCTTACACTTTAAGTCCATTTTTAAGGGCAGAAGTCAGTGATTTTAATTTTTAATAACATTTTATTGATTCTCCATTCAGTTATAAAACTATCATTTCAGGAATACAACTTCACACCTTGACATGTGTTCAAGCTTCACTCATCCACTACCAAAGCCATCACGCTATCACAATGACCCTTGAGCCTTGCTCCCACATCTTTCCCTCCCACTGTTGTAACCAGAGTCTAAGAGTTTTTAATCCATTTTGAGATAAGGGTCCAACTTCATTCCTTGCCTATGAATAGTCAATTATCAAAATATAATTTATTGACTCCTCCCATTGTATATTCTTGGTATCTTTGTTAAAGTGACTTGACTATATCTACATGGATTTATTTCTTATATCTCTGTTCTGTTTCATTCATGTATCTGCTTTTATGTAAGTATACTATTGTTTTGATTAGTATATTTTGTAATATGATTTGAAGTCAGGAAATGTTATGCCTCCAACTATGCTCTTTCTCCAACTATGCTCTTTTTTCTTTTTTTCCTTAAGATTGCTTTGACTACTCAGGGTATTTTGTGGTTTCATATGAATTTAAGAATTATTTTTTCCATTTCTATGAAAATGCCTTTGGAATTTTGATAGAGATAGCATTGAATCTATATATTGTTTCAGGTAGTATGAACCCTTCAGCAATATTAATCTTTTTTTTTTAAGATTTATTTATTTGTGCATACAGAACTGGGGTACAGGCCAGAGGCTCGGGGCGGTGAGAGGCTTCACCAGAGACATAGTGGGAAACAGAACAGGCAGATCGACGAAGTGCACTACTGAGGGGAGCAGCGGGCGGGTCAGGAGAGGTCTGCCACGCCATGTGGTCACCTCTGCGGCAGGCTGGAATTGAACTCATGCTTTAGATTCTCAGTGCTGTGTTTTAATCTGCTGCGCCACCAGGGAGGGCCAATATTAATCCTTTTAAACCATGAATATAGGTTGCAAATAATAATCTTCTCAATTTCTTTCACCAGTGTCCTGTGATTTTCAGTGTACAAGTCTATCACTGGCTTTGTTAAATTTATTCTGTGGTACTTTGTTCTTTTTGGTATTATTATAAATGGGTTGTTTTCTTGATTTTCATTTCAGATAGCTTAAAGATCGTTGGCTTAAAGATTGTTGATGTTGTATCCTACAACTCTTCTGAATTGGTTTATTAATTCCAACAGGCATTTGTTTGGTAGAATCTATAGACTTTTCTATATACAAATTCATGCCACCTGCAAACAGAGACAATTTTGCTTCTTCATTTCCCATTTGGAAACCTTTTATTTCTCTTTCTTATCTGCTGTGTGTCCTATTAATTCCAGTACTACATGAAGAGAACTGGTCTGGTTTTGTACCAAATCCTAGAAGAAAAGTTCAGTTTCTCAACTCATGTGTGACGTGAGCTGTGGGGTTTTCACAAATGGACTATATTGTGTTTGATATGTATTTTGTTGAGTGTTTTTTTTAATCATGAGTGGATACTGAACTTTGTGCTTCTTTTTTAGAGTTCCATCCCTATGCTTACATTACCCATTTGTTATCCATGTTGTCTAATAGAGACCTTAACATGCTATTAGTGGGACTAGGTAGATCATGACACTTCTTACTCAGACATGGAATGTCGGGGGACAGTGCATTTTCAGATGCAGTAACAAGTGAGTAGAGTTTCACTGCTTATAAGGTGGTCAGGTATAGTGAGTTTCCTGCATAAAGTTCTGAAACTTCAGAAAAAGACATTGACAACAGCAGATTGATGTGTTATTAGTTACTTATGTGCTATTCAGTAACTTCATGACAGTAACTGAAACAAAGGGAGATTGGGTAAGACAGTCCAGAGGGCGTTTGTAGTATTGATAGTCCAGAAGTTCTATCCATATATTCCTTCAAAAGATTGTTTCCTTTTCACCATTTCATCTGCTTTATACTCTGATTTTCCCCCCTCCTCTTGAAATTCATGATCTGGTTTTTCTTTTAAAAAAACATATGATATAGGCCCTCCCTGGTGGCGCAGCGGATTAAAGCACAGCACTGAGAATCCAAAGCCGCTTCCGCATGAGTTCGATTCCCGCCTGCCCCGGAGGTGTCCACATGGTGTGGCAGACCTCTCCTGACCCGCCCGCTGCTCCCCTCAGCAGTGTACTTCGTGGATCTGCCTGTTCTGTTCCCCACTCTTTCTCTGGTGAAGCCTCTCACCGCCCCTGAGACTCTGGCCTGTACCCCAGTTCTGTATGCACAAATAAATAAATCTTTTAAAAAAAATGATATAAATGTCAATCTTTTGTGAGTCATTGTCATAGGTAAGAAGTTAGTATTTGTTTTATTCTTTTCCCAGGAATTCATATTACAGAATACCACAATATTAGCAGTACAGGACTTGACTTTGAATTTTTATGAAGGACAAATCACTGTTCTTCTAGGACATAATGGGGCAGGAAAGACTACCACCTTCTCTATACTCACAGGTATGTATTCAGGTATCATACTTGAGCAGGTCCAGTAGATTAAGCCCAAAGATTTTGTGAACACTTTTGATGTCAGCAGCATTTCAGAGATACATACCATTCTGATTAATCTACTTTCTTCATAACATGCAAATTATTACAAGTTTTAAAAATCAGTATGTTTTTGTATCCCAGGTTCATTAAACATGCACTATCCTCTTTTATTAATCCCTTTTTTCCTTTATCTTATTCTCCCTTCTGCTCCCTTCCCCCACCCCCATTATAGGAAACTACTCTAATTTGGTTGATATGCATTGTTTCCATTGTAAAATATGTCATGTATATTTTTATCAATTACCTGTGTATTTTACTAAGACATTTTAAAGAATTTCCAAGTGGAAAGGTTTCTGTGATCACCCTTTAACTTACAATCCTGATTCTATTATTTTAACCTCTTACTATACTTGTTGCATATCTACTAGTCCCATTTTTAGGCATCTAAAAATTTAAAGTCAATTTTAGATTAATATTTTCAACTAAATAATTACCTTGCTTACATATCATTAATGAGATTTTTTGGTGTAAAATTTTATCATGAAATGCTAAACTTTCAACTGTTCATTTGCTAAATTTTGACTTATGCATACACTTGTGTAATTCAAATGCTCCTAAGATACGGAACAACTATTTATTTTACATGTTTCCCACATACTAGACAAGATAATACAAGAAGCTGGATGTATAAGATAGATGTATTCTGATCCTCACAAGCCCTATTTCAGGCCCCACTTTATTTAGTAATACCATGGGTAAGGACATTTTGTTAAAATTGAAGAATATGAGACAAATGTTGAAATGGGTAGAAGGCTGAGACAACATGAGTAGAAGGGAGGCTTAACCACCCTAATGATAATGAACAGTCTGGTCTAGCACAATTGCACACACTGGGGTGATACGGCTATAGACCATCTATCCCCCTCTGAATATATTTTGTAAACTAGAATTAATGAGTCACAGAGGTTAAGTTCTGTAGTTATGTGCAGTGTGTTTTAAGACTATCACCATAAATTTGACTCAGTTACTATTGATACATAAAGGTGAATACATATTTTTAGACAATTTCATGTTTCATCTTCCAGTTAAATTTTAAGTTCTTAAGTGTAGAGTTTTGTGTTCCAAGTTTTTCACTAAGAAATCTGCTGCTGTGTTCCCAATGCAGTGGTCAGTCTTAATACGATCACATTTGTTGTCACAGGGAGACAGGAGTACTAGAGTATTGGCACATAGAGCAAATTCTTCAAAATACTTTCATTATTAAAGTCAGCAGCATTATTTTATACTCTTTGAATATTAAAATGTGTATTTAAAAAAGAAAGACACTGTTTTCCCATCACCAAAAGGTTTTTACCAGATGGCTTCTTACAGAGACACAGATAATTCTTCTGGGTCAAACTCATGTGGCCTACAAAGTTATAAAGCCATGAACAAGGCCTGCTCAAGTCCTCTCACCTTTCACTGAAGCTGAACTGCTGTCTTGTCTTCTGCTTCACTCTAGGTTTCTATCTTCCTACCAAAGGCAAGGTCTATATTAACGGATATGATATCTCAAAGGACATGCTTCTAGTCAGGAAGAATCTGGGCTTGTGTCCCCAGGATAACATATTATTTCCGGAAATGACAGTGTCAGAGCACCTCTATTTCTACTGCGTGGTGAGCCCCTGTGCCACAGCAGTGTGGCTGGGTGTGACATCCTACCCTGATGTAGTTCATTTTATTGACATTGTTCTTTTGTGTAGAGGTGACAGGAAGAAGACACATCTTTATAGCTAGATACCTGTATAAGAAAAGTTCTAATATAATGAAATCCTAGGGATAAAGTTGGAAGCACCACGTGAACTGTGGCTTCCCTTTCTAGATAAAAGGAGTCCCCACAGAGAAACGGCCTGTGGAAATTGAGAAAATGCTGGCAACTTTCAAACTGCGGGAGAAGCGCTATTCATTTTCGAAGTCACTGAGCGGAGGGATGAGGCGCAAACTCTCCATCATGATAGCACTTATAGGTGGCTCCAAGGTAAGGAACCATCTGCATGGATCCCACTCCAGTGGTACATAAAACTCTGCTGATAAAAAAAGATAAACTCTTCACCATAGTCCCATGTGCTTTTCCCACCCCTGTTTTGAGCCTTATAATTTGTTTATTTTAGTTTTTACTTTATTACAATTATTTTTCCCCCTGAGCCTTTACATTCCCACTCTGAGTGGCACATGGGTGAATTGGTGGTGGAATGTCCACAATGTTTGCAACAGAGATGAAACAGCATACATTGGAGAAAAATGAAGAATGTTGTAAAAATACAAAAAGATAAACTCTTGCCATTTGCAACAACGTGGATGGAACTGGAGGGGATTATACTAAGTGAAATAAGTCAAAAGGAGAAAGACAAATACCTGATGGTGCCACTTTTATGTGGACGAAAAGGGGAAAAGCAGGGAAGGTTGGGGGATGGAATATATAAGGAAAAACCAATAAGAAACCCTAGAAATCAACTGTCAAATTGAGGCGACCAGCACGGAGAGGCTTGAGGGGACACACTGGACTGTGATGGAGGGCTGCAGGTGGCATGGTGGTGGGTGGGGTGTGGTGACATACAGCTGAAGGATGTGATCTGGTACCTCCAAATCATATACAGTGTCATAAACCAATGTTACCTCAAGAAAAAAGGAGAAAGAAAAAAAGGAAAAGAAAAAATCTCAGGTGACACAAACCTACAAGCTGATATGAATCTAAGTTAGCTCTACAAGTAACCAGAGGGGATTCCCATTACTGACCCAACTAACATCACTATCCACAAGGTGATGATACAGTTTAAAATGACTCTTAATTTTGCAGAATTCCTTATATATCATAGTCCAGATTATGGATCTCAGTTTAAATATGCCCTTCAAGAATACCAAATATCAAAGGGACATAACATGAATTAAAAATGATCATGGAATTGTTGTTCTGGCCTCTAGGTGGTGATGCTGGATGAGCCAACATCTGGCATGGACCCCGTCTCCAGGAGAGCCACTTGGGACATCATTCAGAATTATAAGCAGGATCGGACCATCTTACTGACCACCCACCAAATGGAAGAGGCTGACATCCTGGGTGACCGCATTGCCATCATGGTCAAGGGGTCCCTGAAGTGCTGTGGCTCTGCAGTCTTCCTGAAAAAGATATATGGTACCCTTCCCTTTGATAATCTTTCAGATAGTGATGTCTTAGTTGTAGTCACCATAATTTCTGTGGGTATTGACATCTTAGTGATATTCTCCTAATGAGATTTTTATTCTCTCTCTCCACACAATTTTTCAAAAGCTTTGTGACCTGTTGTATGAGGCCTTCACTATCTAAATGAATTCTTTGTGATTTTTTTT